ACGGCGGTTGCCTGCGCGCCCAGCGCCCTCGGGCAGGGGCCCGGCACAGCCACGCGGGAGGGCCGGCCGGAGCTCCTGCTGCAGAGCTGCGGCGCGCCGGGCAGCTGCACCGACGAGCCGAGCTCCGTGACGCTGGATAGGGGGCCACAGGCGAACCCTACCCCTACCCTTCAGTCGGGCCTGTCCCCCTACACGGGGATTTTCGACGAAAAATGAAAAATACCATCAAAAATAGCCAAAACAATATTTCAAACATAGACTGGGGATTTTTTTGTTGACTATGGTTTGACCTTTTTGGTGTATGTTTGGGGTATTTTTAATTTTTCGTCGAAAATCCCCCTGTAGGGGGACAGGCCCGACTTAACCCTACCCCCCACGATTTCTGAGGGGGAAGGTGGGGTTCACTTCGTTCGGGAGCTCCCGAACGAAGTGAACCCCACCCTCCCCCTCAGAAGTCGTGGGGGGTAGGGGTAGGGTTCGCATGTGACCCCCTAGTGGATGCGCAGTGGCGATGGCTGCACGACGGGGGGCTCAGGGGCTGCATGGAGGGCCAGGTGTGGAGCGAGGATGTCTGTGGGGACCCGGAGACGTGCGCGGCCGTCTGCGTGCTCGAGGGCGTCACCGCCGAGGGCTACGGCTCTCTCTACGGCGTCAGGCCCGTGGAGCGCGGCCTCGAGCTGGGCTTCGTCACCGTCTCGGGCTCCGGCAGGACGGTGGGCTCCCGCCTGTACGTGATGGAGAACGACACCGCGTACAAGCTCGTCCGGCTGAAGAACCGCGAGATTGCGTTCGACGTCGACGTGTCCGCACTGCCGTGTGGCCTCAACGCTGCTCTGTATCTGGTCGAGATGGACGCCAGGGGCGGTCGCAGCAAGGCGGGTGCCAAGTTTGGGACCGGCTACTGCGACGCGCAGTGCCCCCGCGGCCAGAAGTTTGTCGACGGGGAGGCCAACCTGAAGGGCTGGGACCCGGTGAGCGGCGGCCACTGGGCCAGCTGCTGCCCAGAGATGGACATCTTCGAGGCGAACTCGATGAGCATGGCATTCACGGCACACCCCTGCTCCACGGCCGGGCCCAGGCGCGTCGCGAGCGCCGAGGCCCGCGGCGCGTGCGACGAGGACGGATGCGACTTCAACCCGTACCGGCTGGGCAAGAGGAATTTCTTTGGGCCGGGCGCGTCTGGCGTCGACTCCAGGGCCCCATTCACGGTGGTGACTCAGTTCCTGACCTCCGACGAGACCGACGCGGGGGAGCTGGTCGAGATCCGGCAGTTCTACGTGCAGGGCGGGAGGGCCATCGAGAGTCCTCAGCCCGAGGGCGTCAAGGGGGTCCACGGCAACTCCTTGACGCCCTCGTTCTGCGATGCGGCAAAGAAGGCGTTCGCGGCAGGCCGCAACGAGTTCAGGGAGGCGGGTGGTCTTGCGGCCATGGGCGAGGCGCTCTCCCGTGGAATGGTGCTGGCCCTCTCTCTGTGGGACGACCCGGCGACCGCCATGCGGTGGCTGGACTCTGCCACACCGAAGCTGCCAGACGACGCGCCCGGCGTGCTCCGCGGCCCCTGCTCCAGGAGCGAGGGCGAGGCGGAGGCGGTGGAGGAGACTAATGCCAGTGCCTCCGCCAGGTTCTCCAACATAAGGTATGGCGCCATCGGCGCGACCACCCCGGGCTTGCAGAGGAAGCCGCCGAGCCCCCCGGATGAGGCCGAGCCATTTGGAGGAGGCCGCGCGCAGAGGAAGCCGCCGAGCCCTCCACAGGAGGCCACGCCGCAGGTCGTCGGCGCCGCCGCGGGGGCCGAAGCCGAGGGCGGGCATGCCGCGCTGGCTCCCGGGCAGACGGCGCAGGCGCCAGCGGCCGGGGCAGCCGCGTGGAAGTGCTACCACTACGCGGCCGGGGAGGACGACGACTGGTGCAGGGGCATGGAGGCCACCAGCGACAGCGAGTTCAGGCACGGGGACCTGGGCCTGTGCGGCGGTTGCCTTTGCTGCCAGAGCGCCACAGACACCCCGAAAGACGACGCACTGGTCATGCGGTTTCATCCCAAACAGCCCGAGGCCGGGGCCGGGGGCCCGCGCCCCGCGAGTCCTGGGACCCCCCCGGCCCACGACTGCGGCACTGGCGACTGGCTCAAGTGGCACCGGGAGAAGCAGGACTGGTGCTGCGAACACGCACAGATCGCCTGCCCTGAAAAGCTCCGACCGCCGCACGACTGCGGCATTGGCGAACGGCTCAAGTGGCACCGGGCGAAGCAGGACTGGTGTTGCGAACACGCACAGATCGCCTGCCCTGAGGAGCTGCAGGGGTCGCTGGTTCGGCTTTCCGCCAGCGCAGTGGCAAGCCCTGGCGGCGGCGCGCCCGAGCTCGCACGCGTGGCGGGCCGCGGCGCACTCTCTGGAGGAACGGCCAGCGCGCTTGCGGCTGCGTTGGCTCTTGCCGTGGCCGCGTCGGCGGCGGTCGCCGCTGCGCTGCGCGCGCGCTCGCGGAGGACCCTGGGCGCCGCGGCGCCGCACGCTCGCGGGCTGCTGCGGGCGGCGGGGGCGGGCGGCCGCTCGCCTCAGGACGGCGAGGGCGAGGCCGCTGGCGGGGCGGCCTCCGAGTGAGACGCGGCGGCGGCGGTGCGGCAGCCGCCGCCGTTGCGCCGGGCTGAATTTATTCCAAGCGCGTCACTCCAAAGGAGGCGCATCCCAAAACAAGCCAGAAAATAGTTTGGGGACGATTGTTCGACTCTCCTTGAGTATTTCTATGTATTTCTCGTTTGTCCTCCCAACTCCGCCTGTAGGAGGACATGCCCGCCCGCTCGTGCTGGGCCGCAACGCTGCGGCGGGCGCCGCTCTTCCACGGGGGGTGGTCGCTCAGAAGCTCGGTGGGGCTGTAGGCAGGGGCAACGTCAGGCATAGATAGGCATCAGTCCAGCAGTGGCGAAGCGTCCTGGCTCGCCTATGGGCCCACTGAAGAGTGTTCTGAGAACAATGTGTGGTTTCAACGAAATGTTCTGAAAACGCTTCTGGCTGGGACTGTTTTGGTTTAGCACATCGGGATTATGTTCTAAAAACATTATTTCAGTTTGGGTGCTCTGAGAACATGTCGTGGTAGGGCTATAGGAATGCTGGGACGGTCGGTCCCTGCTCCAAACAGTAGTCAGCAGCCTCTCCCTCTTAACCGGCCCCCCCCCCTCACCAAAGCTCAAGTCGCGGGGCGGCCAGTTTTACTCCCCACGCTGCTCTGTGCATGGACGGCTCTGGGGAGGCGACCGCCCAACTCCCCAACGGGCGCCCCGGCGGGCGCGCTCCCAGAGACGGCTTGCTTTGTCATGAGAGCACGGTAGTCGTGCTTTCTATTGCAAGTTGAGATCCTAGGGTTGCCCTCTGCCGTGGAGGGGGCGCGCTGCCACGGCAGGGCCGAATGCAGTCCTGCGTTCGTGGCAGGCCCGAGTGTCAGGTGCGGCTAGTTCGTGCGAGCACGCAGGGGCATTCACAGGCGGGTTGCACTTCTGTTTCCCATGCCGGATTTGTCTCCACGGGCGGCAGTGCCAGTGGGCAAAGTTCCCCACGGTTTTGCTAATACGTAAGTGTGTGCCTCTTGTCGCATCATTGTGCGTTCAATCGTTTCGTGTTAGGTTGTTTCGCTCTGGCTTGCCGGCTGTAGTTCGGTACTGCTCGCCCACTCTGGCCAGCGCAGAGAGGGCGCGCCACCAAAAAAAACGTTTCGGGAGCCTTGAAGAAGTTTTTCAGGAGCTTCTAAGGATCCTCGAAGAAGGTCCTAAGGAGCCTCGAAGCAACCCCCTATGAGCCTCCAAAAAGCCGTTGAAGCGCCTCACGGGACTCAAATGAACCTCACAAGATCACACGTTGCATGACATCAGGAAAGACTACGGAGAAAGAGCCCAAAATATAGGGAACGGCCCCGGCTTACCCAGACAAGCACTTGTTCTCGGTGGGACACGGAGTGCTCGGAGGGGTCCAGGAGGAGGCCGACGAGGAGGAAAGCTTCGGGGACAGTCAGCGAGGGGGGTGATTACATCAGCGAACGAAGAACGGTATAAAATAAACTTTCCGCCGTCGGGGGCACCTGCCCCTGGGCGGCTGGAAAGTTTATTCCCCTACGGTGCCACCGTAAGGGTATAAATTTTCCAGCCGCCCTGGGGCAGGTGTCCCCGACGGCGAAAAAGTTTATTTTATACCGTTCTTCGCCCGTTAATTACAAAGAGGAGGGGGTCATGGCTGGGGCCATGGTTTTTCCCCAGATGTTCTCCCCCTTCGTCTTGCAGTGCGTCCCCGGGGCCCTCCCTCGCCCGCGCGCAGGCCTCGGGCTGCCGCCAACCCGCACAGAGTCCTTCCCAGGGGCACCCCTGCAGGAGGAGGAGGAGGAGGAGGAGGCGAAGGAGGAGGAGGAGCCTTGCCCCCCTTCGGCCAAGCCCTGGCGACCCTCGCTGGCCGACCCTGGTCTCAAAACGCTGGCGTGGCCCTCCGAGGCCCCTGCATCCGTACCGCGTACCCTTCTTATGCGGCTGGATTTCGGGAGGGGAACGAACACACAGATACAATGAATCGTCGAGTCCAAGGAAAACAGGAAAAGATTGGAAAATATGGGAAGTGGGGGGGAGGAAGCATTCCCCAAAAACATGAGAAGATATGGGGAATCCTGGAAATTGTGTCGATTTATTTGTGTCCCTGGGCCCCTTTATGCTGATGTGGCCTGAGAGCCCTCGAAAGAGGGTGGCCCCCCTGTTGGATGCCCCCGGGGGAATTTCCAGTGCCGCCGCGGACCCCGACTGCCCCCTTCGACGTCCCCAGACTTCCAGAGAGGCCCCAGCCGAGGCTTCCAGAGGCGCGATCGTCGGGGGCGGCCAAAAGGGGGGTGATGACTACGGAGGGGAAGGATATCATGGCGTGGGCCATGAGATTTCCGCAGATTTCATGGCGCCTCTTCTTGTTTAATTACGTCCCTTCCCCCCACCCCCTGGGCGGCGCACATGCCGCCGGCCATGATTTGCGCCCCCCCCTCTTGGACGCCCACCTCTTGGCCGCCCCCGAGATCGGGGCTCAAGAGACCGGGGTCAATGCAAACGGGGGTCAGCCAGAGCGCCGGACCTTGCGGGATCCCGCCGGGCCAGGGGCGCACCGAGCCGGGCGTGTGCGCAGGATCCTGCCGGATCTTGCAGGGTCCTGCAGGGCCTGCAGGGTCGCAACCCGGGTCTGACGAACCGACATCACACAACCATACCCATAGAGGGGTCGGAGAGGGCTATGGGTGCGTGTTGTCGGATGGGGGTCCCCGCTCGAACGGGAGCTTCCCCAGGGTCAGACAACCCGCACCCAGACCCATAGCCAGTCCTCCTCGCAAGGACCCCCCTATGGGTATGGGTGTGTGTTGTTCATTCGTCAGGGTCCGGGTGCAGGATCCCGCAAGGCCCGAGTGACCCGGGTCTGGACTGACCCGGGTCCGCAGATCCCCGACGCGATAGGGGGACCCGCGGCGCCCAGCAGCGCCCAAGCACCACCTCTTCCTCGATGCCCGAGGGCCGACAGCAAGACCCTGGCGGCAGGAGCAGGAGGAGGAGGAGCAGGAGGAGCAGGAGGAGCAGGAGGAGTAGAAGGAGGAGGAGGAGGAGGAGGAGGAGGAGGAGGAGGAGGAGTAGGAGGAGGAGGAGGAGGAGGAGGAGCAGGAGGAGGAGGAGGAGCAGGAGGAGGAGGAGGAGGAGGAGGACGAGAGAGAGCGCCAGCACAATGCGAGCAGAAAGTCACAGACGTCGAGACACCGCCCCTTTGACGCCCATCTGCCTAGGTATATCCAGCTGCCCGCGGCAGTTCCGCCACCGTGCCAGCGCAGCCTTCTGGGCGGCAACGACTCGGGAAGGCAAGGGGACCTAATGCGGGGCCCCTTGGGGCGGAAGTCTCGACTCTTAGGCCCTCGTTTGGGCCGTCCTGGGTCCTGCGGAGGAGAAGGAGGAGGAGGAGGAAGAGGAGGAGGAGGAGGAGGAGGAGGAGGCGACACCGCCCCGTTGACGCCCTTCTACGTAGGCATAGCTTTGTTTACGCTTCCCTCTGCACGCCCGCTTTCCCGCCGCACCTGGCGCCCTTGCGAGTTGCACTCTTTTGCCTGCATCGGGTTGACGCTGCAGCCGCTTCGGTCCAAGTCTGGCCGCCGAAGAGGAAGTGGAAGAGGAGGCTCCCGGTGCAGACGCTACGATCTGAAGATTGACGTCCGTTCGGAGTGGAGGCTCCTGGAGGCCTCCGGAGGCTTGATGAGGGCCAGCCGCGCGCCGCAGCTGGCCTACAGTCTCCAGGCATGATCTTTTTGGCCCTCGACGGCCGAGGGCAAGCAGCCTGGCAGAAGGAGCGGGCCCGCTGCCCGCAGAGGGAGGAGGAATGAGGAATGGCCCAGGAAAGGGAACGAGGGGGAGGAGGAGGAGGAGGAGGAGGAGGAGGAGGAGGAGGAGGAGGAGGAGGAGGAGGAGGAGGAGGAGGAGGAGGAGGAGGAGGAGGAGGAGGAGGAGGAGGAGGAGGAGGAAGAGGAGGAGGACCAATATGAACCAAAGAGTCATCAACGATGTTGGAATAAGCCCTCCCTCCAAGCTCCCTCTTCATAAGCCCCTACAGCGGCTCATTTCCATTTGGGGAATTGCCTTGTTGGAATACACCCTTGAAAACCGTGAAGCATACCAAAGCATTGCTCACGGGATTTCAACGCCACGGATCAACCTGACTGCTGCGTCCTGGCGATCCGGAATCGTGCCAGAACGCCATTCTCGGGATTTCAACGCCGCGAAACAACATAATTGTTGCACCCGCATAATCCTGAATCCTTCCAAAACAAAATTTCTGGTATGCTGATCATGGGAACCCGTGACATTCTTTCAAATTTTATAAACGAAATGCGCGGCGTTATGACGATAACCACATTTTGAAAAGAAAACGCCCTCAATCCGTGAGACCCTTGCAATTGTTTTACAACGACTGCGCGCGGCGCTAAGGCGAGAGCCACATGTTGAAAAGGAACCGCCCTCAATCCGCGAAACCCTTGCGAATGTTTGAAACGAATGGGCGCGGCGCTAAGGCGGGAGCCACATTTCGAAAGGGAAATGCCCTCAATCCGCGAAGCTCTGGGAATTCTTAAAGTACGAATGGGCGCGGCGCCCAGGCGGGAGCCACATTTTGAAAACCACCCGCCTTCCATCCGCGAACCTCCTGGAATGCTCAAAGAACGCGTGTGCGCGTCGCGAAGGCGAGGGCCACATTTTGAGAGCCACGCTCCATCTGTGAAGGTGTTGCCATTTCTTGAGCTTCAGGCGTCCCTGCTCCATCTCCTCCTCCATCTCCTCCTCCTCCTCCTCCTCCTCCTCCTCCTCCTCTTCCTCCTCCTCCTCCTCCTCCTCCTCTTCCTCCTCCTTCATCTGTGAAGGTGTTGCCATTTCTTGAGCTTCAGAACCATAAGTGGTGAGAAGGTCTCAGGCGACATGGCCGGCCCGCCCTAGAAGCTGGCCTCGGGGTGCGACAGGGGAAAGTTATTCATAAGGAAAAAGAGTGGAGAAGGGGGAGAAGGGGGAGAAGGAGGAGGAGGAGGGGGAGGAGGAGGAGGAGGAGGAGGAGGAGGACGAGGAGGAGGACGAGGAGGACGAGGAAGAGGAGGAGCAGGAGAAGAAGGAGGAGGAGGAGGAGGAGCAGCAGGAGCAGCAGGAGAAGAGGGAGGAGGAGGGGGGGGGGCCTTCCGGGCAAAGCAGGAGCCCGTGGGCGGGAAGCTCGTCCACATCCACGGCTTCGCGGAGGCGTTTTTGGTTTGGTCCGTGGCTGCTCCGCGCGGAACGCGTCTATGCGACCGCCCATCCACGGGATCGCGCCCTGGAATCCGGACCACGAGGGCGTGGACATTGATGTGTTTCCCTGCCCATAGGGGGGCAGCAGGAGAAGGGGACGCCGCCCCCGGGGAGTCCCGCCGAGCTGGACTTGCTGGTGTGCGGCCTCCAGGACGGGAGCCCTCGAGGCCCGGGCGCACGAGCGCGCGGGCCGCCCAGCTCCGCTCTCTGGTCCTCCAGTTCTCCCTCCTCGCTCCTCTCGCGCTCCTCCCTCCCATTCTCCCCCCATATCTCTCAGGACAGGTCCGCCTCTCGCTCCAGCCTCCCTCCTCCTGGCTCCAGCCTCCCTTCTCCCTCCTCCTCCAGCCTGGGCTGAGCCCAGTGCCCGCGTCCCCCCTCTTTCTGGCACCCCTCCTGCCTCCCTCCTCCTCCTCCCTCCTCATTCTGGCGTCCCTCCTCACCCTGGCGTCCCTGCTCCATCTCCTTCTCTTCCTCCTCTTCCTCCTCCTCCTCCTCCTCCTCCTCCTCCTGCCCCTTCTCCTCCTCCCCCTTCTCCACTCTTCTTCCTTATATCTTATTTCTCCCTCTCGCACCCGGAAGCTATTTTTTAGGGCGGCCCGGGCGTTTCGCCTGAGACTTCCTCGCCGTTTATGATTTTGAATTTTAAAAATTGACCACACTTTCACAAATGGAGGGCGGGTGTCTTTCAACATGTGGCTCTCGTATTAGCGAAGCGCCCATTCGTTTTTATTATTTGCAAGGGTCTCACGGATTGAGGGTGGTTCCTTTCCAACATGTGGTTCTCGCCTTAGCGCCGCGCACAGTCGTTTCAAACATTTGCAAGGCCTTCACGGATTGAGGGCGTTTTTTTCAAAATGTGGTTCTCGCCTAAACGCCGCGCACATTCGTTTACACAAGTTGTTGATTCGTTGTGTTGAAGTCCCAGGAATGGCGTTCTGGCACGATTCTGGATCCGTGGCGTTGGAATCCCGAGAACAATGTTCTGGCATGCTTCAAGGTCTCAGTTCCCTCAATGGAAATGAACCGCTGTAGGAGCCTCTGAAGAGGGAGCTTGGAGGGAGGGTTTCTTCCAACATCGTTGATGACTCTTGGGTTTGCACTGGTCCTCCTCCGTCTCGTCCTCCTCCTCCTCATCCTCCTCCTCCTTCCTCCTCATCCCCATCCTCCCCCTCCCACCTCCCTCCTCCCTCCCTCCCTGCCTTCCCTCCTCCCTCTATTCCTTCATCCTCTGTCTCTCCCCCCCCCATCGCCTCAACACGGGCGGTTCTCTTACCCTGGCATGATTGCCAGGGGTGAGACCACACGAATGGAGCAGGCGTCTGGAGCCAATCGGGATGGCCGTGTCTCGGAGACTGGGCATCTGGATGTGCGTTTCGGGCGTTGGGGCTCACAGCAAATCAATAAACACTTGAAGCCCGTGCGATTGACGAGGCCGAGAGTTCGGCAGCATGAAAAAATGAGGATGTCGAAGGTCTGAACCCGCAGCGAATATCAATTGAGATGGGAGGGCCCCTCCACCCGGGAAGCCTCTCTGGGGCCCGTGAGACCGACGGACGGGGACGGTGTAGAACATCAGTTCCAGACATCTATGTTGAAAGAAGGACGTGCGTCAAACAACGGGGAGATTGATACATACATACATACATACACACATACATACATACACACAGAACGACAGACAGAGAGACCGACAGACAGACAGACATACATGCATACATACACCGACTTACAGATATACGTGAATACTTGTGTATATATGTACGTATACAAACATACATACAACAATGCGCAGTTCCATACTTACCTAGGTGAAATCATTCAGACATACTGGTATATATACATACATACATACATACATACATACAGACAGACAGACAGACAGACAGACAGACAGACAGACAGACAGACAGACACACATACATACATACATGTATTCATTCATGGACGCACGTGCGTACGTGCACACATGTAGATCTACGTGTATACAAACACACATGCATGATTGAACGCGGTCATACAGACATACGTGCATACCTAGATCCAAATGCGCAGACATGCATACACACATGCTTACATGAGAAAGAGCGTGTTCTACCGCTGCTAGCGGAAAACCGGGGGGGGTCACTACCGGTTCGAACCCCTCCCACCCACCCCCCTCCGGAAAACCGGGGGGGGTCACCGGTTCGAACCCCTCCCCCCCCCCCCCTCTCCCCCAGTTCATCATGAAAGGGGCGGGGGGTCACTACCAGTTCGAACCCCCCCTCTCCCCCTCGAGCTCGATCGAAAACCGGAGGGGGTCACTACCGGTTCGAACCCCCCCCCCCCGAAAACCGAGATGGGGGGCGGACAGTGGTGGGGACGGTGGTGGTGGGGACAGTGGTGAGGGGACAGCGGGACAGTGGTGGGGACAGTGGGACAGTGGTGGGGACGGTAGTGGTGGGGACAGGTGAGGACAATGGTGGGAACAGTGGGACAGTGGTGGTGGGGAAACAGTAGCAGTGGAGGGTACAGTGGTGGTGGGGACAGTGGTGAAGGCGGTGGCAAGGACGGCGGTGGGACAATGGGAAAGAGGTACAGTGGGGACAGTGGTAGGGACACTGGGGACAGTGGTGGGAACAGTGGGACAGCTCAGTGGTTCGATCCGGTAGTGACCCCCCCCTCCGGTTTTCGAGGGGAGGGGGGGGGAGGGGGGTTCGAACCGGTAGTGACCCCCCCGGTTTTCGAGCTCGAGGGGGGGGGGGGGGGGGGAGGGGGAGGGGGGGGGGGGGGTTGCCGGGGGAAGGGGGGGGGGGGGGAGGGGTTCCAGCAGGGGGGGGGGATTTTCGGAGGGGGGGGGGGGGGACCCCCGGGTTCCGGAGAAAAAGGGCGGCAATTTTCCACAGTAAAGCGGCGGTGGATCACGCTCTCTACTTGATTATCATACAGTCACACCGACAGACATGCATACACGCATGCATACATGCATGCACGCGTGTATCCATTCATCCATGCGTATGTGCACACATGCGTACGTGCGTACATAAGCATAGATAGATAATACGTACATATATGCATACATACACCCGCACGAGCATGCAAGCATATATTTGTATACATATATATACATATATATAATTATTGCATACGTAAATACATGTGTGCAGACGTGCATACATACATATATATATATATACATCCATGCATACGTAGATACATACATGCATGCATAAATACACGCATACCTACATGCATGCATACATACACACATCCATATATCTATATGCATAGCCGTACACATACATACATATACTCATAGTTACGCACCTGTACATACAAACAAGCAAACAAACAAACAAACATACAGACAGACACCTATACCTACTTACATACACGCATAGTATCAACATGGATGTAGATATAAACATGTGGGCATACCGTCCATGTATGAATTATGTGTCCTCATGCGTGTACACGGCATCGGCGTTTCGCACCGTGCATTTTGTTCTTTACATTGCCGGAAAACAAGCGGATCGTATTCCCACACGGGCAGGAGACCGCGTCCACATGGCTGCACCAGCGTTTCGTTCCCTCCGCCTCCTCTGTTCAGATTCTTGCCCTCTTGCCTGCTCTCGCAGCGTGTCTCGTAATCTTCCTCCTCTCCTCTTTCTCCCTCGTGTGGAGGAGGCGAGCCCGAGGAAGTCGGAGGGTGGAGAGGCTGAGAAGGAGGAGGAGGACCACAGTACACGCAGGATGCGTCCTCGATGGTGCAGCGCGCCCTCCCGTCCCGACCGAATCCCCCGACGCGGGAAGGCCCCACGAGTGTGCCCCTCCGCCGTGGGAAGGAGCGTCCCCTCTCGAGGGACGAGCCCAAGGTGGGCGTGCCACTCGGGCGAGGCCTCGTGTTGCAACCGAGGTGCCCACCGCCCATATCCTTCCAGGTCGGAGGTGCAAGGGGACAGGCCGCGAGAGCCCGAGGAGTGTCCAGCGAGACCCCTTCTTTTGAAGAGGAGATGTGCTCCACTCATGCAAAAGGGGCTGCACGCGATGAGAGCGCTGGTCGTACGGCCCGCGGCAGTCTCGAGCGAGAGCCTGAGTTGGACAATGAGTCGCCGTCCATCCGTGCAGGGTCTGCGCAGCTGGCACATTCCGGGACATGGAGTTTGATGAGGTCTCAATCGGGAGTTGGATGTGGAAAACCAACCGCCCTCAGTTATGGTCGATCGCGAAAACGTCTTAAACGCATTAACGCTGCGCTAGCGTGATAGGCACACATTGAAAACCACCAGCCCTCCATACTTGCAGCTGCTGGGGAATGTGCGCTGCGCTTGGGCAGAAGCCGCATTGTTAACACCACTGGCCCTCCGTCCGTGTACTATTGGTACTTGTTGCATCCGGCTAGTAAGTCGCGAGGAAGTCTTAAGCGCAACGCCTTGCCCGACATACGGACGCGTCTGGTGCAGCGCTGGGCGGGGGAGTTCTCCATGGAGTAGAAGGTGGATCAGAGCAGGCGGCGGAGGAGGAGGAGGAGGAGCCGAGGGAGTGGGTGGAGAGCAGGAAGGAGGAGGGGTTGGAGGAGAAGGAGGAGGAGGAGGAGGAGGAGAAGGAGGAGGAGGAGGAGGAGGGGGAGGAGGAGGAGGAGGAGGAGGAGGAGGAGGAGGAGGAGGAGGAGGAGGAGGAGGAGGAGGAGGAAGAGGAGGAGGAGGAGGAGGAGGAGAGGAGTAGGACGAGGAGCGAGCAGGAGGAGGGAGAAGAGGAAGGAAGGGGGGGAGGAGGAGGAGGAGGAGGAGGAGGAGGAGGAGGAGGAGGAGGAGGAAGCAGGGAGGAAGAGGCGAGATAGGACTGATGAGCCCCAAGGCCCGAGCGCACCCCCCCCTCTTGGCGTCTTCCGCCGCGCCACAGGAGCTGGACCTGGCGGACTGGCGCGCGAACAGCACCCGCGCCGAGGGCGTGGACCAGGACCGCTGGCCGAACACAAACCAGAGGGCATCAGGGCCGTCCACGACTCGATCGACGGAGGAGGAGACAGGAGAAGGGATGGGAAGGGAGGAAGAGGTGGAGGAGGAGGAGGAGGAGGAGGAGGGAGGAGGGAGGAGGAGCGAGGAGGGCAGGGAGGGACGCAGGACGAGAGAAGAGGTAGGAAGAGGGAGGGGGAGGGAGGAGGAGGCAGGAGGAGGGAGGAGGGAGGAGGAGGGAGTAGGGAGGAGGGAGGGACGCAGGACGAGAGAAGAGGTAGGAGAAGGAAGGAGGGAGAGAGGGAGGGAGGGAGCAAAGGGAGGGAGGAGGATGGGGAGGAGGAGGAGGAGGCGGAGGAGGAGGAGGAGGAGGAGGAGGAGGAGGAGGAGGAGGAGGAGGAGGAGGAGGAGGAGGAGGAGGAGGAGGAGGGTGGTGGTGGTGGTGGTGGTGGTGGTGGTGGTGGTGGTGAGGGAGGAGGAGGAGGAGGAGGAGGAGGAGGAGGAGGAGGAGGAGGAGGAGGAGGAGGAGGAGGAGGAGGAGGGTGGTGGTGGTGGTGAGGAGGAGGAGGAGGAGGAGAAGGAGGAGGAGGAGGAGGAGGCAGGACGGCGGGAGGAGCGGAGAGGCCACGGGTGCTTTTTTCTGGCGGCCGAGAAGCGGCGCCGGGGGGCGGGGGGGACAGGCCGTGGGGCAACGCTTCAAGCAGTGGGGAAGCGTCCTGGCTCATCTATAGCCTTACCAAACAATGTTCTAAGAACCCTTTGTGGTTTCCACGAAATGTTCTTAGAACATCTCTGGCGGAGTCTGCTTTGTTATATCACATCGGGATTATGTTCCAAGAACATTCGTTTTGTTCTTAGAACATTTTTGGGTTCTCAGAACATTTCGTGGTAGGACTATAGGAATTCCCGGACGGTCGGTCCCTGCTCAAACGCTTGGGGGTGGGGGGGGGATAGGCCCGGGGGGCAGCGTCGTTAAGGGGGTAGGCTGAGGTTCGAGGTTTTCACGCGCTCTCGTGGGTTCTCGGCGGCTTCCAGAAGCTGCGCCTCGCCGAGAGCGTTCCGATGGTGTCCAGGTCGTTCCGAAGGGCCACTGGGGAGCCGCTTAATAGGCCGCAGACCCACGGGGACGAGGATAGGCTCAGGGGGGAACGCATCGACCTGCAATCGCCTATTGATCGCCGATAGGGGTCCGATAGCCCTCCCCGCCCATGAACGCGCGGATTGGCTACCAGGGCCCATCGTCGATCTATCGGCGATGTATTGCCGATTCCAGGTCGATGTTTCCCTGGTCCACCCCTAACGTCCGGTGCGGTGACTACACCGTGTGGTGAGTCAGCAGGGATTCGGGATGACCGCACGGTTTCGGGCGGGTCGCTCTCCGAGCATGTCTCGGGCAGCGGGTCCTCCAGGGTCCCCAAACCTTGCGATGACGGACCCTGCGGTTAAGTCTTTGGGGATTTCAAGGTCACCGCATGGTACGTCGCAGGAAATGAGCTCCCTCTCCCTCCCTCTCTCCCTCTCCCACCCACCGCGTGGTGGAGCGCACTGGTGAGCGATTATGTGTGGTGGGCGTGGCTGGTAGCTGTAGTGGATTGGACTCGGTGGGCTCGATCGGGCGAGTGGTTCTGTACATCTTCGACTCGGGGTAGCATCTGGACAGCCGAGGGAGAGGGTGTCACGGAGGGGAGGGGTCGGGCAGCCTCAGGGCAGGGAGGATTGATTTAGGGGAGTCGCACGGCATTCTGGAGCACTCTGGATGGGCTGCCCCGCTGCAGGTATCCTCTTCATTCGCCCGCGCTGGGTCTTGGGATATCCATCCGGTATGTGTTGATGTCCTGCCTTCTTGCGGAAGTACAGGGCCAGGGGAGAGGCAGGGAGGGGAGATGGGTGGGGGAGGGAGGGAGGGAAGGACTGAGGATCCCGGTGTCCAAGAGTACGTTCGGGTGCCCCCGTGGCTTTTCGAGGCCACTGCGCGACCCTCGTAATTAGAGTGCACACGAACGTGGCATCCACATGACGCCGGTGGCCTAGGCGAGAGCTGAATGCACATGTGACCGGATGTCTTTCCAGCACTCGGCGTTTCTCTAGCCGCGCAGGCTAGGCTTCCGAGCGTCACACATGTGACTCCAGCCATGCGTGAGCCCAGCTTCCTGGTACTTCCAGCATCGCCACCTTGGCCTTGACCAGCGTGCTCTTCCCGGCTTCGTTGAATGCTCAGCTCAGCTGGATGTTTTCGCTCGCAGGGGGGCCTGGTCTGGGTGTGATGCCGCTGGTGCACTACTGGGACGACGCTGGCGCCCCAGGGGCGGGTCCAGTGGCCAAGCCTCGCCCAAAAGGCTGTCCTCCATCCTAATGAACTCGGGATGTGCAGCGTCGGCCTTCACCCCATTCAACTGGGGTTGCGGATCTGCATCGCGATCTCTCTTCTCGCTCTGCTCTCGATGCGAAGGGCTCGCGCGAGAGATAACACTATGCTGATGGAATTGTTCTCGTGGAGAAAATCCTCGTGCATTCAGGATGCAATTACAGTGGGGGCGCGCATCAAGAAACCATGTGCTTTTCGTCAGGGGTATCCTGGGTTTCTTCGCTCCTCGCGCTGCGCGGTGACTTCCCGCAGCCGTTGAAGGAAATGCTGCGTTCAGGGTGCTCCGGGTTTCCCCTGCACCTCGCGCACGGGTTCTCAGGGCTGGGTTTCTCGCGAGGATTTCTTGCGGCTGCGCCCGCACTGTATGCTGTTTTTGCGGTGTCTCGCACCTGTTGGGCCTCCAGAGGGGTCAGGGTTCGCGGGCATGCGAGGGTGTGGGGTGCCCGTGGCCCTCCCACAGAGATACCGTTCGAGCAGGAGGGGGAGGGAGAGGGGGAGGGGGAGGAGGAGGAGGAGGAGGAGGAGGAGGAGGAGGAGGAGGGAGGAGGAGGAGCAGCAGCAGCAGCAGCAGCAGCAGCAGGAGGGGGAGGAGGAGGAGGAGGAGGAGGAGGAGGAGGAGGAGGAGGAGGAGGAGGAGGAGTAGGAGGAGGAGGAGGAGGAGGAGGAGGAGGAGGAGGAGGAGGAGGAGGAGGGGCAGGGGGAGGGGGAGGAGGAGAGAGGAGGAGGAGGAGGAGGAGGAGGAGGAGGAGGAGGAGGCGGAGGAGGAGGAGGAGGAGGAGGAGGAGGAGGCGGAGGAGGAGGAGGAGGAGGAGGCGGAGGAAGAGGAGGAGGAGGAGGAGGAGGAGGAGGAGGTGGAGGAGGAGGAGGAGGAGGAGGAGGGGGGGGTGGAGGAGGAGGGGAGGAGGAGGAGGAAGAGGAGGAGGAGGAGAAGGAGGAGGAGGAGGAGGAGCGCCGACCCCAAATGGCCGTCGTCGCATCGCTGGCAGGGGCGAAGGTGCCCCACCTGTCGGCGGCGCCCGTAAAGGATTGGCGCAAGGGGGGCGGCCTGCTGAGAAGGCGGGGGAGCCTTCTTAGAAGGACCCTGGGGCATCTTGGAAGCCAGGAGGGTTTGGGTTTGTCCATAAGCACGGCCTGGGGGGTCGACATTCGGGGACCTCGGCAGGCGGTGGGTATGGATATGTGTTTGTCCCATTGGGCCGAAAAAAGTGGCACGCGTGCCAGGGCTCTTTGCGCATCAAGCAGGGGGAGGGGGAGAAGGAGGAGGTACAGTAGGAGGAGGTGCTCCGAGACGGCCTCCAAGATGATTCAAGGGAGCTCAAGACGGTTGGATGTGGCCCCCTATCATGCCTCCACGAGGCCCCAAGAGTACCACAAGACGGCCCCAAGTACTTGCGGAGCACCCTCGGTCCCCCATCCAAAGGAAGACAGATTCTTCAAACACCTGAGACAAAAACAGTAAGTTGTTCCTTGCCGCTGTTTCGCTTCCGATGGGCTTTTGAAGCCTCCAGGCTGGGCTGGCTAAGGGGGAGGGAGGTGCCAGTGTCGTGCGTGCGTGCCGAAGTATGGTGGTCGGGGCGGAAGGGGCGCGCCGGCTGAGGGGCGAGGGAGGGCTGGGCTGGCTGGGGGACACCGTGGATGAAGTCGGGCCTTCCCCTCCACAGGAGGAAGATTCTAAATTAGTCAACAAATGCTCTGGGGACGTTTTTGCAAGAGTAAAAAATATGTCTGACCATTTGGGGGTATGGTTTGGCTATTGCTTTTTTTTCTTCCATAATCCGCCTGTAAGGGGACATGCCCGACCTGAGCATAAACTTGCGGAGTTCTGCGCGGATGCCTGGGATCGACGCCCGGGCCCCCTCGGACGGCGCGCCCCGACGCCGCCCCCTTGGCGCGCCCAGCGCGCGCGCCAGGGAGGGGGGGGGGGCCCCAGTGGACCAGTGCGCGTCGACGCATTTCGCGCGGACCTCCGAGAGTTTATTAATTATATATATATATATATATATATATATATATGTGTGTGTGCGTGTGTACATACATTCGTACATATATATATATATATATATATTATATATATATCGTTGCTAGTTTCCTTTACGGTGAGAGCCCCTGGATGTGGCCGCGACGCCGCCCCGCCTCCACTGCCAGGGCTGCAGCAGCGGCTCGGCCGCCCCCCCCCGGGGCGCCCTGCGGCGGCCCCCCCGCTGCGTGAGCGCACTTCCTCCCCCCCTCCTCCCCTCCTCCTCCTCCTCCTCTTCCTCCTCTCCTCCTCATCCTCCTCCCTCCTCCTCCTCCCCTCCTCCCTCCTCCTCCTCTCCTCCCTCCTCCTCCTCCTCCTCCTCCTCCTCCCTCCTCCCTCCTCCTCCGCCTCCTCCTCCTCCTCCTCCTCTCCTCCTCCTCCTCCTCCTCCTCCTCCTCCTCCTCCTCCTCCTCCTCCTCCTCCCTCTTCCTCCTCCTCCTCCTCCTCCTCCTCATCCTCCTCCTCCTCCTCCTCCTCCTCCTCCTCCGCGGCCGCCTCTTCCGTTCCTTCCTCTTGCTTCCGGGCGGATTCGCATCGCCGCCCCCCGGCCTGCCGAGCGCGCGTGCGGACCGACCTTGCCGCGCCCCGACGTGTAAGAAGTTCCTTTGTACGGTTGGGAACTTGTGTTTCGCGCGTGGTTCTGCCGCTTCTGGCCCAATAGACGCCTCCGCGCGACACGCTGTCCACTTCGCTGTCCCCCCCCCCCGCGGGGATGATCCAAAAAACTCCTCGATCAAATGCACACGTCCGATCCTGCGCCTCACTTGGTGGCGGGGCGACGAATTGGGGGGGGAGGACTGGGCCCTGAAAGCCTCCTTTAGAGACCCGACAGGACCCTCCCTCGGGGTCCTCGCGCGTCAGCGTCCCGAGCGGGGCCCCGCCTCCCGGCCCGCACCACGGAACGACACGCCATCCGCTCGCAGGGCACAGCGTGTCGCCAGGGCCGCCCCCACGACGCACCGCGAAGTGAACCCCACCCCCCCCTCAGAAGTCGTGGGGGGGTAGGGGTAGGGTTCACATGTGGCCCCCTAACGGAGGACAGTCTCCACCACATCGCTGGTTCGTTTCCCGCTCCAAAGGGCCAATGCCTCCGCCTTTCTCCCCACCACAGCGTCGCTCGCGATCGGAGACGGCCGCGGCGGCCCGCCCGGCTCTGCTCGGTCGCGGAATTCCCCGACTGCGCCCAGCAGAATTTGTGGGAACAAAAACACAAACACACACACACACACGAGGGACAAAAACATACAAACAACACACACACACACACAAAAAAAACACAGCCTGTGGGAAAAAACAAAATTACACAGCGTGCTCCTGCCGATTTTTGCTCGCCTGCTCACCGCCTTTGGGCCCGGGCCCTCCCGAGCGGGCCCCCGCCGGCTGCCATGCGGGAGGCCTGGGCCCTCGGCGGCGCCGCCGGCCGGCCGCCCTGCCCGGCGCGACTGCGGCGGCCCCCTGCGGCCAGCGTCGGGGTGCAATGCGGGGGCGGAAAAGAGGGGGGTGATGACTAGGCAAAACGACGCGAAGATCGGGACAAAATCGGATCGGGATAACTCGAAATCTCTGAGGATCGGCGGGTTTGGCGGATGTATTGGGCGCCGCGGCCGCTCCAGAGCGTTCCGGAACGCTCTGAGAGCGCTCCGGAAGGCTCTGGAGCGATTTATCCCGATCCTAGCCCTGTTTTACTAGGGGGGGGGTATCATGGCGTGGGCCATGATATGTCCCCAGATTTCGTGGCGCCTCTTCTTATTTCATTGCGTCCCTGGCCCCCCCGCTGGGCCGCGCACATGCCGCCGGCCATGATTTGCACCCCCTCCTCTTGGACACCCCCCTCTTGGCCGCTCCCGAGCAATGTTCACCTGCGTCTGGACCACGACCGTCTGGGGCCTGGTCCAGACTGCCGGCTGCCCTGTCCTGCCACTTGCGGGCTGCAGCGAGGCTCGCCTGCACCTGCGCCCTGCTGGTCGCCGGAGGTGGCCGCGCGCGGCGCCGCACGGCGCGGTCCAGGCGCGAGGCGCGGGGGCTGCGGCGAGGGGGCCTGCGCGGCGGGCTGCGGCTTCGTGCGAGCGGCGGCGGAGGGGGTTCCCGCGACGACTGGTGCGAGGCTACGCCGGGCCCGGGGCTGAGCGCGACCGAGGTGGTGGAGCTGCAGCTGCGAGCGCTGCAGGACAACGACCCCTTGACGAACGATGGCCTGGCCAAGACCTTTGAGTTCGCCTCTGCGGGTAACCAGGCACAGACTGGGCCGTTGCTGCGCTTCGCTGCCATGATCCGTAATGGCTACCCAGTCTTGCTGAATTCAGCCTCTTTCTCTATTTTATCGGCGCTGCCGATCGGCAACGTGACCTATGCAGTTCGAGTTGAGGTGGTGGGGAACGGGGACACAGGCGGCTCCGTGCGGCGATTCATGTGGACGCTCTCCAACGTCGGATCGGGATGGAGGACCGACTCTGTGATTCTCGACGAGGACAACCAGTAAGGTAACACATAACAAGTGTATTGTCAGGCGGCCAGCATGCAGCCGTTCGATACGATAGCGGGCGCGCCCGAGTGCACATGGGCAGGTCCTTAGCTGGCCAGGGCTAGTGTCCAGCGACCAGCTGATAGCCGACCATGGCGAAAAGCTGCACCGCGCAGTTGTTCTGCAAAGTATGCATCCAGGGCCTCCTCACCATGAGGAGCATTAAGAGAAATATGAATCTACCTCGGAAGATTGGCCTTCACAGATGTTCTAGGAGGCGTCGTAGCTAACCGCAGGCATGACAGGTCTGGGACATGCAGTCTTACATTGTTGGATTCGTGCGATCTTCTTCCGATGAGCGGGGGTCCTACACAGCTTGTGAAATAAGTATGTTTCAGTCGTGGTTGCAACTAAGATCGCTGTGACCAGAACCAGCAAAGCATCCACAAATGTTGCTGTCGATGTATTGTTGCTGCTACTTCACCTTTCATATGACGCTCCTTTTGATTGAGGAATGTATGAGTGGGTCACGCGATGTAACAAATAGTATGTTATTATATACTACCTCATACACCACCCTTCGGATGAGAAGGAGGTTTTGGGAAAGTTTATGGCAATTTGATTTTCATTGCACGCACTATTCAGTCAACGAGCGAACCCACATCGGGACATCAAGATGGCTTGCATCGCCATGAATATATTTATAAATACGGCTTGTACCCCCTTTCGCTTACCAGCGTATCTTGATATACCTGATTGCAGTTATCATCAGCACTCCATATAGTTCCATACATGTATATATATATATATATATAACAGATAGATATGTGCAGAGCTATATCAGAGTAAGGGGGCCGAGCGGTCATTCACTGTCTCTGGGTGAGTGGCTAAAGTGGGGTTCCACGGTGCGGCCTGTTGTTGTCGTTTGTTGCTATTGTTGTCGTTGTCCCACTCAAGATCCGGCCCGCGAACCAACCTTGACCCGCCCGAGACCCACCCGCGATCCACCCGCGACCCACCCACGAGCCACCCGCGACCCCCCCGCGACCCACCCGCGACCCACCTGCGAGTCACCCGCGGCCCACCCGCGACCCACCCGCGACCCGTTTGCGGCCCACCTGCGAGTCACCTCGTGGCCCTCCCGCGACCCGCCCGCGACCCGCCCGCGATGCACCCCGCGCCCGCCCCCTCATTCTTATCCGCAACTGCGGGATGCTACATGTAATCTACCGACGGGTCTCACCATCCACCCGTGTCATTAACGACCTGCCGATCTCATTCTACATATGGCGGTACATCCGCCGGAACAATTGTCGAGACATCGGGTCGATCCAGCTAATATATCAGCGTATCTGTCTATATAAATGCATTATATCTGTATGTACCGACATCACTCACACTGCCACCCTGCCTCCTATATATATATATATATATATATATATACATACATGTATAGATATACATATATATATATGTGTGTAGATGTGTATATAAAAATACATATATCCATACATACACACACCAGTAAACCTTTGTGTGTCACCCTCCATCATGCTTCGTGTCGGTTGCCTCGTAGGGCGCATCTGTTTTAGGTCTGCCCCGCAGGGCGCATAGGTTATATAGCTTATGTTTGCGACCTGGAGAGCGCGCACATATTAGTCCGTAGAGGACCTTGCAGAGCGCAGTGTTTTTTAGCACGAGAGCCTCACAGAGCGCATTTATTTTACAATATGGCCTCGCAGAACAATCGTTAAGTCGGGCACGTCCCTCTACAGGGGGAATATTCAAGAATCGTCAAGAAATAGTATGGGGATGATTTTTTGGGTTACTTTTGTTCATTTTTGAATATTTTTTTTTTCATTTGTCGTCCAAAGTCCGCCTGTAGGGGGACATGCCCGACCGAAAACAATCGGGACAACCATCGGGACAACCACCGGTACAACTTTCGCAGGAGGGCCAGGATCGGGGCGCACCTTCTTCCCCAAGCGGTGCTTGCACTCAATGATTCCCATTTCTCTTCTGAGGGACTGGGCCTGTCTGTCGGTCTGGCGGCCATGCTGTCGCCGCCCCGTCGCCGCTTCGTCGCCGCCCGTCTTCTGTGCCTGTCTCTTGATATTGCGGCCATGTTGTCGCCGTCGCCGCCCCATCGCCGCCTCGTCGGCGCCGGTGGTCTGCCTGCCTGTCGGTCTGGCGGCAATATGGTCGCCGTCGCCGCCCCATCGCCGCCCGTCGTCTGTGCCTGTCTGTCGGTCTGGCGGCAACGTTGTCGCCGTCGCCGCCCCATCGCCGCCCTGGATTGCACGACGTAGATTGCGCCGCATTGATTACAACATGAAGATTGAACCGCATAGGTTGCTCCATTGCTCCACCTAGGACGAGACCACGAGGCAAGAAAGGGCACGACTAGCAAGCCGGCTGGGTGGTAAATGCTGAAAATGGGCGCAAGCATTCACCAAACTACATTGTAAACGACATAACTAAGTGGGTGAGGCACGGCAGTACCCCGCAGCATCGGAAGGCCGAGCCAACAAGGCGAGACGGTGAGCCCCTGGCGACAAGAGCGGCCCGAGGGGTCGGCTAAACCGCGGCCGTAAGTTGCGCCCACGCGCGTTGCCCATGCACACAATGAAAGAAACGCAGGGGACGAGGAGGGGGAGGGAGGGCAGAGAGGAGGAGGAGGAGGAGGAGGAGGAGGAGGAGGAGGAGGAGGAGGAGGAGGAAGCGGAGGCGGAGGAGGAGGAGGAGGAGGAGGAGGCGGAGGAGGAGGATGATGAGGCGGAGGCGGAGGAGGAGGAGGATGAGGAGGAAGAGACTAGCTGGCCGCTCTGCGCGCGAGCCCGCGCGCGGTAGCGCGGCCGCAGCGACGCACCAACCAGCGCGGAGCAGCCATCGCAATCGCCACCGCATGAGTTTTGCAAAGCAAGTTGCGGGTGGGTGGGCGGGGCAATTGCGCCAACATGGGAAGTGGTCGCGCGCGAAGAATTCAAAGCCAAATGCGCAACATGCATTCCACCACAAAGATTGAATTCTATATATATATATATATGGACCCATATGTGTATTTAAATATATATTATATTGCGTCACTTAGACCGCACTACATAGCTCGTACAACATATACCATGTTGAATTACATGGGCTGCACAATACATATTGCACCACGCAGCGCGCACAATATTGATTCTCCGTTCTAGACATGGAATTGAGTATACCACCCCCCAGGATTACCGGCACCCTTTTTTCATTGCAATGTACATACGATTCTGCCTCATCGCCCATCCGAAATATAAATCCCCACCATGCCAACCCAGCCGGCGTCGCCCCCCCCCCCCTCCCCGCAATCCTTTCGCAAAAAAGTGTATGCGCGCTTCCTTTTACGAAAAATCATCAACATGTAAGAATTCCGTGCAAAAAACAAAAAACAAAACAAAAAAAAAAAACAAACAAAAAAACGAAACAAAGTGCACACGCGCGCGTCGTCGCGCGCAAGCCGAAATCCGTCAAAATATTTCGATGTCATACGGATGCAAAAAATCAAGTGTCCAAAAAACATGCGGTTCCGCATCACGGATTTATATATATAAGTAATAATAATAATCATAATAATAATAATGTGAATGATAATGATAATAATAATTCTAATAAATAAATCAATAGATAAATACATAAATAACTAATAATAACAACAACAACAACAACAACAATCATTTTACCCGAACGCTCAGTGTTCTCACCAGTGCCAGGGTTTTCATGCGACGCCAGCCAATACCCCCACTTCGTGGGGGGGCATTACAAGCTCTACCAAATATCCAAACGACTCTTCGCGACCACCCAAACCCAGCTTCCCGCCCTATGACGTAACAACAACAATCATTTTACCCGAACGCTCAGTGTTCTCACCAGTGCCAGGGTTTTCATACGACGCCCGCCAATACCCCCACTTTGTGGGGGGGCCGATTCAAGCTCTACCACATTTCCAAACGACTCTTCGCCACCACCCACACCCAGCTTCCCGCCCTATGACGTTCGGACACTTCACTTCGTGGCATGCGGACGACCGTGGCTACTATTCAGGGCCCCGCGGCCGACGACGACGGCGTGCGCGCGCGAAGAAAAAACGAATGTGTCCCGCATGGTATTATTTGACAGGGATGATGGCCCTGGCAGGTGCGCAACCGTTGTTGCAGAAGTTCGAAAAAGTTGCTCGCAAAAGCCCGTTTGACAGAAATGTTTAAAAAGTGTTGGGTTTCCTACGAATCCGCAAGAGCGCGCGGGATGAAATTTTGACATTTTTTTTTGAAAAACCATTGGTTTTTTGATGTTTTTATGTTAAAATCGCTACGAACACTAAGGTTTTGGAAGGATTTCGTCTTGCGCGCGCGAATGTCCACTTTACCTTATTTTTTGCAAGGGATTCTTGAAATTTGATTATATTAGAACAAGAAATGTCATTTTATAGTGTTTTTTGCAAGGGAAAGCGGGGGGGAACAAAACAACCGGATCTTGATGACATCGTTTACCTGAGGCTTCCTCACGAAAATGATGAAAATGTAGCTGCGGCCTAGGCGGCGCAGGGGGGCCGTGCACCAGGGGTCCCAACAATAATTATTCTTTAGAATTAATAATGTTCAACAACAACAACAACATAAAATGTATGCGAATTCTCCAGAAAACCATAGGTCTCCCAACATTTCCATAACATGTTACCAAACGGGCTTCGCGCGCGCATGTCGAAGTCTTTCGAACGCTCTGGGGTGGCACGATTCGTGACAAATAGTACCATGCGGGCCACTCTCGCGCGGCTGCCGCGCGCGCACATGTCGTTTCTCCTTGTAAAACCTTCATCACTGACGCGAAGACGCCGTTATCGTCGTCGGCGTGATCAGCATCGGCGCCGTCACCAGCTGCCCCGTCGTCGTTGTCAGCATCGTCGCCAGCATCGCTATTTGCATCATCGCGTATACCGTTGCCGATGTTGCCCTGATACCGCGCCCGCCCAAGTCGGCGACTCGCACTGAATTGCCCGATGGGGTGTGCCGAGCGGTCAGCGCCACCGCGTTCGCGTCGGTCGCGCCAAACTAGCTGGCCGCTGCGCGCGCGAGCATGCGCGGGCTAGCGCGGCCGCAGACATGCACCAGCCGACACTATGCATTCATCGCAAGCGCCGCCGCATGGGGTTTGCAAACCAAGTTGCGGGTCGGCGGGTGGGACGAGTGCGCGAGCAGTGGAGCTGGCTCTTCAAGTTCGGCAAGCGACTTGCACCACATAGTTTGCACCACTTAGCTTGCACAGCATAGGCCGTAACAGTGTTGGCTCGACTCATTTTGGCTCAAGCCCAACTTGGACCCCGCTCGGGGTCCACAGGGGGTGAGAGCCCTGTAGCCTATGTGGCTCAGTGGCGTCGCCCTCGCGCGTCGGGTCTCCTCCAGGGGGGGGCGCGCGGCGGGGCGGTCGCGCGGGAGCGGGGGTCTTCCCCCCCCCCCGCCTCCGATGCCCCCCCTCGCTGACGGCCTGGCGCTGCCCGCCGGGGGGCGCTGGTGCAACTGAGGAGCGGCCTGCTGGGCGGCCCAACCAGCGGCGCTAGGAGTGCCAATGGGCGCCGGCCGGCGGGGTGCCAGCCACGAGCGCGATGAGCGCGGCGGCGGCGGTTGGGGCGCGCCGAGGCCAGGAGTTCCTGGCCCTCGCGCGGCCGGTGCCGGCGGAACCCGAGGCCGAGCAGGAGTCAGGGCAGGCGCTGCGGCGGGAGGCCCGCCGTACGAGCCCACGTGCGAGATGTAGGGCGGCGTGCGGGCCCTGCTCGGCGAGCTGGCGGGCGGCGGGGCTGAGGCCCGCGCTGTCCAGCAGGCGCCGGGAGTTGGGCGAGTGCCGAAGCGTTGCGCCAAGGCGCCATCCGCGCGGCCCCGCGAAGGGCGCAGCCAGCGTCTCGGCCCTTTCGCCGCCCTTGGGGGCGGGGAAGACGACGACGTGGACGAGTCCGTATTCGAGGTCGGCATCGGGCCGCGCGCGGCGGCAGCGGGCGTTGCGGCGACAGGCGATGTTGGCGACGACGCGTTGCTGGTGGTGGCCATGGCGAGAGCCAGGGAGGAGCAGAGGCAGCTGGATTGCGAGAAATCCGAGGAGCTGCACGGGCCAGAGAAGCAGAGCGCACGGAGCAGGGCAAGGAGTCGCTGCCCAGCCTTACGGGCGCCTTCGGACTGCCGCCCAGTGAATTGGACGGTGGACGAGCGCCGTGCGAGGAACGCTCCGCAAGGCTGCGATTCCGCTTGGCGGGGCGCGTGAGCCGCGCCGCCGAGGTGCCAGCGCCATCATTGGCGGCGGGCGCGCGCTGGTTGAAAGGCTGCAAGGAGCTGGTGGGAAGGAAAATCGACAAGGTGGCTGTTGAGGCCGATGGCGACGTTCACGATGAATTGGCGGCCCAGGGCGTGCAGGTTGTGACGTGGGGCACGCAGCAAGAGACCAAAGGTAGCAGCCAGGACTCGATGAGGACGTCGTCGAACTTGTGCAGGGCGGCGCGACGCTGCTGCCGCAGGTCGAGGGGCCATGTGAGGGCGCCGAGGTGCCCCTCGAAGCGGAGGCCGCGGACTTGGAAAACGACGAGCGCGGTTCCTCGGAGGGCGGCGGCACGAGTGCGGGCGAGAAAGACGGCGAGGAGGAGTGCGTCGACAGGGGCATGCTGCCGTGGTCCTGCGGGGGCCGCGTGCATGGGCCCTCATGGTGGTGCCCATGGCTCCCGCCGTGCGCGGACGATCGGCAACGGCCTTCTAAGCTCATCGCCAGGCGCTGGCGGGAGTGGAGGCTGTAAAAGCTGCAGGGCGAGCTGGAGCGCGGGCGGGCAGAGTACGCGCGGCTGCAGCCCGCCCTGCTGGTCAAGGCTCGCGCGGCCCGCGCGGCCAAGAGAGCCAGGTGATCAACGAGATTTGGCCCCTCGGGGGCTGACCTGATGGGCTGCAGTAGGGGCTGACTTAATGGGCTCCCGCGGGAGCCCATGAACCGCGCGCCCTCTCGCGTTGAGGTGGGGTGCGTGGTCAGTGCGAAACCAAAAAAAAACTTGCATAACATAGGTTGCACCACATAAATTGCGCAACACAGACTGTCAGAAACACATGGTATCGTTTGGGTGGGGCCCACGCTGAGTACAAAACGCCTTAACGTGGACCATCCACCAACCGTCACGCGGACTTCGGTGACACCGAGCCCAGCCCGCGCGGAATGAACGCGGCGACGCGCTTGTCTCGGAATTATGCAGAGGGCTGCGCGTGGGCCACATCTTTGATTGAAAATTATGTTGTCGCCTGAACTCCAGCGACACCCTTCATTGAGCATGTCGTTCTCGGTTGCGCGTGGGCCGCATGCGTGATTGACGGCGTAGCTTTCGCCCGCCGGCGACATCCGTCATTGATTATGCCGCTCTCGCCTGATGAAAAATGCGGTTGCGGCTTCGACACCAGCGACATAATTTTGAACATGCCCTTTTCGCTGGCGCGTGGTCCATTCGTCTGATTGAACATGTTGTTGCCCATGCGCCGGCGACATCCTTCATTGAGCCTGTCGTTCTCGATTTGGCGCTGGCCACATATCCGATAGAAAATATCAATGTGGGCTTGGCGCAGGCGGCATCCTTCATTGACCAAGTCGTTCTCGCTTTGGCGCCTGCCATATCTCTGATGGAAAATGGTGCTGTCGCTGAGGCGGCAGCGACATCTTTCATTGAGCATGTTGTCCTCGCCTTGGCGCCAGCCACATCTCTGATTGAGAGTGTTGCTGGCGCCCAAGCGCTGGCGACATCCTTCATTGATCGTGTCGATCTTGCCTCATCGTGGGCCACTCACGTGATTGACAACAGTGCCGTCGCCCAAGCGGCGGCCACATTCTTCATTGAGCGAGTCGTGCTCGCTCTGGCGCTGGCCACATCTCTGCTTAAAAATGGTGTTGTTGCGTAGGCGCCGGCGACATGCTTCATTGAGCATATCCTTCTCACCTTGGCGCCAACCACATCTCTGATTTACATGTGCGGTATCGGGCCTTAGCGTGGGCCGCGGTCTCGATTCGGATTGTTGCTCTCGCTTGGCGGCGGTTGAAAAAATGATAGCGAATGTCGTCATCGCATCTGCCGCTTCGGCGCCGGCCGCACCTTTGATTGGGAATGCCGTTCCCGTCTTGGCTATCAATTGTACCATCGCTGGGGCGCCCGCCACATCTTGATTGCGAACTCCATTCTCGCCACAGGGGAGGACGCAGCCTCACAAGGGTGTTGGCTACGCAAGCTCCGGGATCGCGGCCCCATAGTTTGGCGTTAAGGAGCCGCTTGGGCTTCCTCGCGTTGTGCTACTGGTTATCTTAGTGTTGTTCACACTGGTGCTGTGGGTGCCGCTAACAGTGCTGCGCATGGTGCGCTTGCTTTCCGTCGTGCTTGTCGCAGTGATACGTTCCTCACGCTGGTGCTCCTCGCTGCGCTTGTGCAGGTGCGTGTAGTGTTGCTGTTTATCGTTGGGCTTGTCGCAGTGGTGCTGCTGGTTGCGCTGGTATTACCACTTGTTGTGCTGCGGCTGCCCTACGTGCTTGTCACACTAGTGCCGCTGGAGGCGCTGATGCTGCTGCTTCGCGAAGTGCTGTTGCCCCTGGCGATGCTCGTCACGCTGGTACTGCTCGTTGCGCTCGCGCTGTTGCGCGTAGTGTTGCTGTGTTCCGTCTTGCTGGTCACAGTAGGGGTGGTGGTGTTGGTAGTGCGTCGCGTGATGCTGTTGCTTCCCGTCCTGCTGGTCACACTGGAGCTGCTTTTGGCATTCGTACTGCTGCGTTTGGTCCTGCTGTTCCCCGTCGTGCTGGTCCCTGTGGTGCTATTGGTTGCGCTTGTGCCGCTGGTTACTGTCGTGCGGGTCACGATGGTGTTGGTAGTTGTGCTAGCATTCGTGCGCGTGATGTTGTTGCTTCCTGTCGTGCTAGTTGCGCTGGTGCTGCTGGTGGCGCTAGTAGTGGTACATGTGGTGTTTTCGCTGGTACTGCTGCGCGTGGTGATGTTACTTGCTGTCATGACGGTCACATAGGTGCGACCAGTGGCGCTTGTGCTGGTCACATTATTGCACTGCTGCTGGTGGCGCTCGTGGTTCTGCTGGTGGTGTTGCTGGTAGCTGCTGGTAGCGCTGGTGCTGCAGTGCTGCTGCGCGTCGTGGTGCTTGTCTTTGTCGCTTGACTCACGGAGGCGGTGCTGCTGGCGCTGGTGCTGCCGCGAGTGGTGCTGACGCTTCCTGTCGTGTTGGTCACAGTGGACTTGCTTGTTGCGCTCGTGCTGCTTCTGCTGCACGCCCGACGCGCGGCAGCCGCCGCAGCCGCCGCAGCGGGCGACTGGCGACGCCAGCAGCGCGGCGGCCGCCGGACGCCCCCCTGACGGCGGCGGTCGGAGTGCGCTGCCTGGGGGCCGCTGCCGCCCAGGTTTGGCGCCGCTGCTGGCCGAGCAGGGCGCCGGTGAAGAGCGCTGGAGATGCCGGCCAGGCTGGGCGCGGGCATGCGGCGGGCGCTGGCGGCGGGCACACGATGCGCCACTACACCGTGCTCGCGTTCGCCCTGGCGCTCCTGGGCAGCGCTGCTATTATCGGCCCTGGCTAGCGCAATCCTTCCCGCTGGGAGCGACCGTCCCTCGGGCCTGGGCCGAGCAGTTACTCTTGGGGGTGGGGTTCGGCTCCCAGCCAAGCTTCGCACGGACGAACTGCGCATCTCTGCTTTGGGGCGCCGCCGGTGCCCAGCGCAAAATCAATCGGTTTGGGCCGTGATGCTTCGCGCTGGAGTAGGGGCGCGCCTCTTCCCCCGCCGGTCTGGCCAGCGGGGTGATGGAGGCGCTCGCACAGTCCAGCGCAAGTCGCCTGGCGCTTCCGGTTCCCGTCGTGCTCGTTCGGGCACATTGTCGGTAGCGTTTGTGTCGTTTCGCGCGGCGTTGCTGGTGCTGAAGGTGGCGCTGGTGCTGCTGCGCTTCGTGTCGCTGCTAGCCGTCGCGCTCGTCACAGTGGTGCTACTGGTGGCGTCGATGCTGCTTCTCGCGGTGTTGCTGATCCCCGTTGCGATCGCTATAGTGGTGCTGCTAGTGCTGCTAGTACTGGTGTCCGTGGTTGTGCTGCTTGCTACTGTGCCGACCGCAGAGCTACTACAGATGTCGCTTTTCTTGCTCGAACTACCTCTGGTGGTGGCGTCGATGCTGCTGTAGTGTCCGCCACAGTGGTTCTGGTCGCTGTGCTAGAGCTGGTGCGCGTGGCACGACTGGCTCCCGTTGTGCTGGTCAACGTGGTACCGCTGGTTGCACTGGTGTTTCTGCGTGTCGCGTTGCTGCTTCCAGCGGTGCTCGTCACAGAGGTGTCGCTGGTGACGCTGGTGCTGCTGCGCGTGGTGCTGCTGTAAGCTGCTCTGTTAGTGACAGGGGCACTGGTGCTGGCGCCTGTGCTGATGGCGCCACTGCTGTTAGCGGCGTTGATGCTGTTGCGCGTGGTGTTCCTTGGTATGGCAGTCCTCGGCGCAGTGGTGCTGGTGGCACTTGTGCTGCGCGTAGTGGTGCTAGTCTTTGTCTTGCTACTCGCAGTTGTGCTGCTGATGGCCCTGGTGGTGCTGCTGCTGGTAGTGATGCTGCTTCCTGTCGGGCTGGTAACCGTGGAACTGCTCGTTTCGCTGGGCCTGCTGCTGCACGACCAACGCGTTGCGGGTCGTCGTGCGCATTTCCGCCAGGGCGCGGGAGCTGCGGTGCGAGGGGTGAACAGCAGGCCCCAGTGGGAAAGACTGTGGGCTTTGCCCTGGGGCGTCCCTGGTGTCCAGCGCAAACTTGAGACGATCTGGGCCGTGAAGCATTGCGCTGGAGTACGAGAACAAACCCCCCCGACGGCCACCCTCCCAGCCTCACCTGGTGGCCCCTGTGCGCCAAGGCCAAAGCATTCCATTGTAATATTCACAAGGGCTTCGCCCCCTGTCGCCGGTCCCCTCTCCATCAGAATGGGATATATCAGAGTCGCGTCGGTGCGTCTCGGCGCTGCCATGGCGCATCTGGGAACATCATGCGGGGGCGGACAGGAGTCATCAGCGCAAATTGAGACGTTGGCGTTATCGAAGACGCCTACGTCGAGTCACCGCCGCCCCCTCTGCCCTTTCGGAAGCGCCTATGTGGCCGAACGTTGAGGCCAGAGCCCTGCCAAGCTATCGAGCCATGTGTTCCCCGAATCGGTTTGGAAAGCCTTCGGGGAACACGTGGGGGAGGACGGGGAAGAGGAGGAGAGTGAGGAATGGGCGTGTTCGGGGCCCCTTAATGGGCTCTTGTGAGCTTTTGGAGGCGTCTTGGGGCCTGCTGGCCGAAGATTGGGTCAGATCCTTGCCAATTTTTCGGGACGAGTGTTCCCCGAATCGGCTTGGAAAGCTTTAGGGGAACACGTGAAGGAGGTTGTGGAAGAGGAGGAGAGTCAGGAAAAAGGGGAAGGGAGGAAAAGTCCTCTTGGGAGCCTCTTGAGGCACTCTGGGGCTCAAGTGGGCCATCTTTGCGGGCCTCTTGGGCCGTCTTAGGCCGTCGGAGAGTTGATACGAAGAGAATGCCGAAATCCTTCAAACACCCAAAGAAAATCAATGATATGTGCCCCTTCGGGCCTTCCTGGAGGACGTCTTGGAGGCCTCTTGGGGGCTCTTGAGCCGTCTTAGAGGCTTCGTGGACGAACTTGAAGGCATCTTGGACTCTCTCGGGCCGTCTTGGAAGCCATCTTGGACCATCTTTGGCGATTTGGACGCAATCTTGGGCCATCTTGGAGGACATCTCGGGCCAACGTGACCATCTTAGAGGCCATCTTGAGCCGTCTTGGAGAACTGTTTGCGGTCGTTGAGATGGTTGCGGGGCCTTTCCCGGACCCCGGCGGGATCGGCCGAAGCCCCAGGGGGAGTGTTTTTGGAAAAGAGCCAAAACCAAAATCGAAAGGATCTAGCACGCTGGGCACCCCTGTGGCAAGCCAACAGGGGGCGGCGGATCGAAGACGCCTACGGCGAATCACCGCCGCCCCCTGCCTTTTTGGAAGCGCCTATGTGGCCGAGCGTTGAGGCCAGACCTGCCAAGCTATCGGACCGTGTTCCCCGAATCGGTTTGGAAAGCCTTCGGGTATCATTTGGGCATCTTGAAGGTCATCTTGGTCGTCTGGAGGCCATTTTGACCCTTTCGGGCCTTCTTGGAGGACGTATTGGAGGGCTCTTGGGCCGTCTTGGAGGCCATCTTGAGCGTCTTGGAGACCTCTTGGGCCGTCTTGGGGGCCTCTCGGGGCCGTGTCTTGGGCCTGGGCGATCTTTGGGGGCAATTCGGCCGTCTCGGGCCGGAAGGCAGAAAAAAAGCAAACGCCACAATCCTTCAAAAACCCATGGGAAATCAAGGATGTTGGCCTTTTCGGGCCTTCCTGGAGGCCCTCTTGGAGGCCTCCTGGGCCGTCTTGGGCCATCTTAGGGCCATGTTCGGCCGTCTTGGTGGGCTCCTGGTCCGTCTGACGCCGTCGGAAGCCGTTTGGGGGGCCTCTATGGGCCGACTTGGGGCCTTCTTGGAATGCTCCAGGGCCGTCTTGGAGGCCACCTTGGGCGTCTTACAAAAAGGCATCCTGTGCCGTTTTGGGGGAGCCTCTTGGGGCCGTCTTGGGGCCTTCTTGGGCCGTTCTGGGGCCATTTTGGAGGCCTCTTGTGCGATCTTTCGGCGATCTTTGGGGGTTCTTGGCCGTCTCGGGCCGTCGGAAGGCCGAAAAGGAGCAAATGTTTAAATCCGTCACAAAAGCAATGGCAAATCAATGTTTTTGGCTTCTTCTGGCCTTCCTGGAGGCCCTCTTGGGGGCCTCTTGGGCCGTCTTGGGCCAGCTTCGAGCTTTTTTGGGCCATCTTGGTGGGTTCCTGGCACGTCTGACGCCGTCTGAGCCGTCTTGGGAACCTTTCTGGGCCGACTTGGGGCCCTCTTGGGGCGTTTCGGGGCCGTCTTGGAGGCCATCTTGGGCGTCTTGGAGGCCATCTTGGGCGTGTTGGAGGCCTCTTGGGCCGTCTTGGGGCCATCTTGGGGCCGTCTTGGAGGCCACTTGGGCCGTCATGGGGCCCTCTTGGAGGCCACTTGGGCGATCTTAAGGCGATCTTGGGAGCCTCTTGGGCCATCTGGGGCCGTCGGAAAGCCGAAAAGGTGCAAATGTCCAAATCCTGCAAAAACCTGCGGATAATCAATAATTTTGGCCTCTTGGAGGCCTCTTGGGCCGTCTTGGAGGCCTCTTGGGGGCCGTCTTGGGCCATCTTCAGGCTATCTTAGGCCCTTGGGTGCATCTTGGGCCGTCTTGGAGGCATACGAGGGCCATCTTAGCCGTCTTGGAAGCCATCTTGGGGCCGTCTGGGGCAGGAAAACCGTTTACAATCGGGTCTTCCGGGTGGCCGGCGGGACGCGCCGGAGCCCCAGGGAGATTTCTTTTGGAAGAAGAATTAAAACCAAAAGCCATATTGTTCGGCACGCCATGCACCCCTTTGATAAATCAAAAGGGGGCGGCGGATCCTAGTGGCCTTCGGCCCATCCCGCCACCTTTCCTGGGTCGGTCCGAGGCCTCTTGTACATGTGTTGGGGTGTCGTGGGGAGCCTCTCGGGGGCCTCTTGGAGGCGGTTTGGGCGCCTCTTGGAGGCCTCTTGGGGCGTCGTGGGGAATCTTTTGGGCCTCTCGGGGGCCTTTGGAGCGCGTCTTGGGCGCCTCTTGGGCCTCTTGGAGCCTCTTGGCGGCCTCTTGGGGCATGGTGCATCGTTTTTGACATGGATGCAGGCCCTGCGCAAAGCAGGCAATATGCAGGCACCCCAGCCGTCCCTGTCAGAAAAATTATACAAACTGCTCGCGCCCCCCTGATGACCCAAGATTTTGCCCCAAAATGGACTTCACATTGTTTTCTGACAAGGGTGGTGTGGGAGGGTGCCCTCATTCGTCCCGGTTGGCTGCCGGTCCCCTGAGGAACCGCAGTTTCATAGTAGGTAATCGTGATGAAACCCTTCCCAGGAGGGGAAGAGGGGGGTTGGAATAAGAAACGCTCTGAACCACGCACGCCCTAAAAGGCTGATTGGGGTTCTGTTGGGGCCCTCTTGAGGTCACATTGGGGCATGTCTGCTTCGGCAGGAGGGCCTCGCGAGTGCCCGCTCAGGGCCCCCAACGAAGCCTACGTACCAAGGGAACCCTTTTTGATCCGTTCCGTTGGGAGGGGGGGCCCTCTTATCCCCCCTTGGCGTCCCGTTGGACCCCTTTCGGAGATATGTGAGCCTTCTTGGGGCATCGTTGGGGCATTCTGGGGCTTTTGGGGGAGGCCTCCAGAGTGCCCCATCAGGCACCCATCGAAACCTGCTAAGGGATTTCTTTGCAGTAGATTCCGTCGGGGTGTCTCTGGATCTCTCTTGGAGCCTCGTTGGGGCATCCTTGGGGCTTCGGGAGGGCCGCAAGAGTGCCCGCCCCCAACAGAACCCATCAGAGGACCTTTTGGTGGCCCGTTCCGTGGAGGAGGGGGGCCTCTTAGGGCCACCTAGGGCCCCGCTTGGAACCTTCCAGGGGCCCCCTGGGGGTCCCACTGTACTGTGTCACCGACGGGGCTTGGAGGAGGCCACGAGGGTCCCCAACTTATCAGCCCCCACTAGAGCCTACCGAGGCACCCGTTTGTGTCAGGTTCCTTCGCGGTCCTTCTGGCGTATGTTCGTTCCTTTGAAGGCCCACTTGAGATTTTCGTTGGGCGCAACACACAAAAGGCCCTTATGTGTGACATCATGTTGGACAGTGTGTGAGCCCTCGTGGAGCCCTATTGGGGGCAGTGTCATAGCCATGTCGGGGCTTTCTGGAATCTGACCTGGGGTAACGCATTCGCCATCATTTGCTCATGGCTATCGACAGCACATTGTTTACGCGCGCTTCGCTCGAGCACGTGATCTAGGGCCAGTCATAGTAAATTACGTATTGTTGTTATTTGGTTGATGTGGTCATCGCCATCTTCCGCGCCACATTGCAGGAAACATGGGACACGTTCTGGAAGGTGGTCGAAGGGTTCAGCACGCTGCAACAGAAGGAACGACTTGCACAGTACAGCGAGCTGGCGCTCCGACAGGGCACGAGGAAGATAGGGGAAGGTGAGAAGTGGAGAACACAGCGATGTTCACCCAAATCGAGCAGCACCAACTTGGAATGAGCTAACACTTGTTGTAATGAGGAGGCGTGGGAGGGGAGGCGCGAGGGAGTGGGATGGGCGGGGAGAGGACCGGGAGGTTAAGGGGCTCGGGAGAGAGTGGCACCCAGAGGCAAGGAAGAAAAGAGAGGGAATGTCGCCAAAGAAGTGGGGGATGGGGAGCCCCCAGGACATGTGTTGTGGCATGCCGTGCGAACGTGCGCCCAGAAAGAGCAGTACGTCCGCCGAGCCTGGCCAGAGGCCCCTGCTGAACCCAGGGCTCTGTGCATGCGCCTCCCCTTTACAGCGCCAGCAGGTAGAGGAGGGGGAGGAGAAGGAGGAGGAGGAGGAGAAGGAGGAGAAGGAGGAGGGGGAGGAGGAGGAGGAGGAGGACGAGGAGGAGGAGGAGGAGGAGGAGGAGAGAGGGAGGGAGGAGGAGCCCCCAGGACCCGTGCTTCCAGGGAAGCCCGCGTCCTAGAATGCGGAGCATGTGCTGTGCCATGCCCGTGCCGGGCGCTTGCCGTGCCACGCGCGCCATGCCCGTGCCGTGCTCGCACCGGGCGGAGGGTTTCTCCGCAGGGCTTAGGCGACCCGTCCTCCTCCTCCTCCTCTCCTCCTCCCCCTCCTCCTCCTCCTCCTCCTCCTCCTCCTCCTCCTCCTCCACCTCCTCCTCCTCCTCCACCTCCTCATCCTCCTCCTCCATCTCCTCCTCCCCCCCCCTCCTCTGATTCCTCCTCCTCGGGTCGCCTATGGCCCAGGGGGAAACCGTGCAGTACCAGGCACGCACATGGCGATGTTTGTTGAGTTCACTCACCGTGTGCCTTCTCATGCAGCGTGGACGCTTAGGGTTTCGGTATTGGTGTGTTCTGTTCGAGCGGTGCCCCGATTGCGTCTCCCATTTGGGCTCGCGTCATTGCAACGTTTCCTCGTGTTGTGGTGTAGTTATGTGCGTGGTGCCGCGTGCAAATTGGTGCTGTGGCGCGCAGTGTGCCTTCCGTGGCTAGGAGGAAGACGGAAAAGGAGGAGGAAGAGGAGGAGGGGGAGGAGGAGGAGGGGGATGATGATGATGATGATGAGGAGGAGGAGGAGGAGGAGGGGGAGGAGGAGGAGCGGGATTGGAGAAATAGGAGCCGAGACGGATGGGAGGAGCACGCAGCAGGGGAGGTGGGGGTCAGAGGATAAGGCGGAGAAGAATCATGAAGAGAACGGTGACGACTAGTAGGAAGAGTATCATAGGATAATGGTGAGATGAGCGACGGCCAGTAAGATTAGAAACATGATGAGGAATGGACGGTGATAGAGATGAAGCTCCCCTTGAAGAGATGATGCATCGCGGAAGTCGCCAGTCCATCGGCGATGCATCGGCGATGCATCGGCGATGTATCGGCGATGCGGCGCGATCCTCCGACCCCATCTACTCAGACCCCATCTAGGAGGCCTCTACTCCCCCCGTTTCCCCCGAGTTCTTTACTTTTCGATGGCGCATGCGCTTCCGTTTCCCGCAGTTTTGTTTCCCATTCCGCCGCACCGCCCCGTCGGGCGAGACGAGACGGGATGGATGGAGGGACGGTGGTTGGACTGAAAGTGCCCCCACGTGCCTCGCCAAGATTTTTACTAATCAAAGCACGTCAGACCAAAGTGTATACCCCCCTCCCCCCCAATTCAAAGTTGACGGGTTTGGGCGATAGACCACATGCCAGGGACAACATGTGGACATTTCAACGTTGGGTTGGGGGGGGGGGCGCGAAGCAAGGGCGCTTTGCAGTTGTGGTTGCTATCATGTTGCATCGCCTTTATTGCGATGGGTGTGGACACCTTTGGGAGGGATGGAATACCCTTGAAACAAATTTCCCGCTCGGCCGCACCCCAGCAGAGAAGGGGGGTCGGGAGGGGCCCTTTGAAGGCCTTTTGGTCGCCCCTAGATTGCGCAGCAATTTGGGGGGCAGGGAAATTTGAGGAGCAGGGATGTTGTGCATTTGCCGCTTGTTGCCTCATTGCCTACTGGCCTTTTTGCTAGTGGGTTCACGCCCGTGGGCGCTCCCAAAGCGGGGCTGCGGATTCGTGGGGGGGCCCGCTGGGTCTGCGCAGGCCCTCCCTGGCGCCCTGCTGGTCTCTGTCGGGTGCCGTCTGTGCTCCGCGCCTTGGGCTGCGTTGCGGCCGGTGGAAGTCGGCGTGGGGATGCCACGCCGCGTCCTCCTCCTCCTCCCTCGTCCTGGTTGGTTGGTTGGTTGATTGGCGCACTTTCGTGCGTGCCAACGGCGTGTGGCCGCTCGGCGTGGGTCTGGGCGCGTGCCTGGTGCACGGCTGCGCGTGAGGCCTGCAGGCTATCGCTTCTGAACGCCGCCGCTCCTCGTGCACAAAACCCTTGCTATCGCTGGGTCTCCCTGGTGCGCCCTTGCTAACGCTGGGCGGCTCCAGTAGCCTAAAACCCTTGCTAACGCTGGGTTCCTCTGGAGCGCCCTTGCTAACGCTGGGCGGCTCCAGTGGCCAAAAACCTTGCTAACGCTGGGTGCCTGTGGAGCGCCCTTGCTAACGCTGGGCTGCTCCAGTAGCCAAAAACCCGTGCTAAAGCTGGGTTCCGCTGGTGCGCCCTTGCTGACGCTGGGTGGCTCCAGTCACCAAAACCCTTGCCAAAGCTGGGTTCTTTTGGTGTGCCCTTGCCAACGCTGAGCGGCTCCAGTCGCCAATCCCGTGCTAACGCTGAGTCCCACTGGCGCGCCCGTGCTAGCGCTGGGCGGGTCCAGTCACCAAGGGCCCTTGCTAACGCTGGGTTCCTCTGGTGCGCCTTTGCTGGCGCTGGGCGGCTTCAGTCACCAAAGGCTCTTGCCAACGCAGGGTTCTCCTGGTGCGCCCTTGCTGGTGTTGGGCGGCTCGGGTCACCCAAGCCTTTCGTTGTTTTCGTGTGCCCTTGCTAGTGCTGGGCGGCTCCAATCAATAAACCCTTGATAACGCTTGGGTTCACTCGTGCGCCTTCGCTCGCGCTGGGCGGTTGTACTCACAGCAGGCCCTTGCCTGCGTTCGGTTCCGCGGGTGCACCGCGGCACCGATGCTTTCACTGGGAAGATCCAGTCAGCGGAGACCTTGATACCTTGGCTAACGCTGAGGTCCGCTAGTTCGCCATTGCTGATGCTAGGCGTTACCAATGTCCGCAAACCCTTGCTGACGCTGGGTTATCTTGATGCGTTATTGCTTACGCGGGGCGGCGCGCTTTCCAAATCCCTTGCTGATGCGGGCAAGCTCGTGCTTGGCGGCTCCAGTCGCCCAATGACCTTTGCTCGCGCTAGACGCCCGAGGGTGCGCCCAGCTACTGCTGCTTGGCCGGTTTTTGCGCGGTGGGGCTCTCGTCGCACATGTTTTGGCTGGATTCGCTCGCTCACGTTGCGCGTCGCGTGTGGTCCGTAGCCTCGGCGGGTCAAGTCCTTTGCTGCCATTCGGCCAAGCTCGCCAGTCTCCCGTCTTCCACCGTGCTTTCCAAAAGGCATGGCGCAGGTGTCTTTCACTGATGCAGAGATCGCTGCCGATTTCGAAGGCCTGCCGGATGCAGCTTTCGCAGGCGCCACCAGCTCGGAGAGGTTGAACTGGGTCCGGTTCGTGCTGGTCTACTCCAGCGTGGCTGGGGTTCTCGCCGATTTGGTCGGCAGCATCCACCCCAGCGACTACAGCGACGTCGTCATCCGCGGGATGATTACAGAGGGCCTCAAGCCAGGGGATTTCCCTTTGAGTGGCGAGGCCTTCCCTGAGTCCTGGAAGTCGCTGAAGTTCACGCCGGCGCAGATCGTGCACACCGTGCGCGTTCAGGGCAAATGCGTCGCCCAGGTGACCACCCCTGGGAGCGGCAGCTCGGGCTTGCGCGGCGCACTTGCGACGGCCGCGCCTGCTTCGAACAACGACGCCCTGAGGTCATGCGTGACTTCGCGAAACAGGCAAGCACCCAGCCCAAGAAGGGTCTGTCTTTCAGCTTGGCAGACCGGATCCGCGAGGTCAGTCTGCATGACTTCCCTTCGGAGGCGTTGCCCTCCGAGGAGCTCGCCGCGAAGTGGGAAGCCGGCGGCCGCGCTGCCGCCGACCGCGGCCGGGCTTACGTCGGCGGCGCCGACGGTGACGACCTCCAGGCGGCCCACAGGCCCCCATGGAGCCGCACGCCGGAGATCGACGGCTCCCGGCGGGCCCTGGGAGGACCGCATGCGTGCGTCGCTCGAGATGCGCCGCGGGCGAACGCAGGAGGACCGGTGCACTACGTCGGGTTCGCTACTTTTCTGGGAAACGTGATGACGTGGGGCTTGAAGATCTGCATCATGAAGGTTTGCTCTGCGTCTGAGGTTTTGGGTCGCGTGTTCTTGCTGACCCGGGTGGCCGAAGAGTTCGGCGGCGTGCGCACGGCTTATTTCTACGACTGGCTTGCGCCGCGAGATGGCGCGTTGTCTCGAGAGAGTCGAGGCAGATATTTTGCATTTCTTTCAGACATTGGATCGTGAGATTGTCCGCGACGCCCGCGACAAGGCGCAGATGGCCATGAGCCGCGCCGGCAAAGCTGCAGCCAAAGGCACTGCGGCACCGACGCAGGCCAAAGGTAACAGCGGCACGGCCAGCAGCAGCAAGCAGCCCACCCCTAAGGGCGGCGGCAAGACCAGCAAGGCCGACACCGGCAAAGGCCGTGCTCCAGTCTCTCCACAGCTGAACCGTTCCAGGAGCCCCCCGGCCAGCCAGGCCAACCAGAACGGCAGTGGCAAGCAGCGCAGTGGCAACGGCTGGGGCGGCTGGTGAGATTCCAGCAGCTCAGACCCAGAGCTTTCCTACTTCCAGGTTTATAAAGCGCTTCGGTGTTTAAACCAGGTGGAAAACCTCCTCTCCTGGTTTTCTGCAGTTGTAAAGGTTTTGGAGTTCGTTTAAAGGACCGAAAGCTTTAAAAAAAAAACAACCACACCTTCCCAGAGCATCTCCTCGCCAGCGCCCCGAGAATGTTCCGAGAGGACGGAAGGACTCTGAGAGGATTCTGACAGGATTCTGAGAGGATTTTGAAAGGATTCTGGGAGGATCCTGGGAGGATTATGCATTCTGAAAGGATTCTGAAAAGATTCTCAGTGGATTCTGAAAGGATTCTGAGTCGACTCTGAAAGGATTCTGAAAGGATTTTGAGTGACTCTGAAAGGATTCCGAGTGGAATATGAAAGGCTTCTGCGTGGATTCTGAGTGGATTCTGAAAGGACTCTGAGTGGACCCTGAAAGGACTCTGAAAGGATTCAGACAAAATTCTCAAAAGGATTCGGAGTGGATTCTGAAAGAATTCCGAGAGGATTCTGAGCGATGCCATACGAAGCTACTGCACGTTTCTGCACGTAGCTTTTGTGGTCAAGATTGCCAAGAGATTTCCATGCCCGTGCTCTTCATATTGATACAATGTATTGTTCGCTCGCGTTCGCTGGTCATGCCTGATGGCTTCAGCCAGTGTCCCTACTGCAATTTGCGGGTGCCCGATACTCTCGCCATCCACATGGCAAATCATCCCGGTTATCTCGCCCAGTTCGGCGGATCAGCAGCATCAGGAAGCGTAGCATTGCAGGCGCCACCCCCAGCACAACCCATGCTACAGGACAGTGCCCCCTCGGCGTCGGCAGCAACTGCTTCAATGGTTCGTTTCGGCTCACCCCCGCGCCAAGAGAGAGCGATTCTTCCGTGCACGACAGGCTATCTCCGACAAGCCTCCACAGGAAAATCGCTAGAGGAAGAACTCAGCGAACGGGGCGAGGCAGGATGTCTCGAAGGCTTGAGGGCGCCTGCGCGTGCCACGATTCTGCCCCGACCCTTCGAGCTGGCGCTCGCCCAGGCCAGGCGAAGAGAAACCCAAAGCCGATCGCGTGTTCCCGATGCCCACGCTGCGACACTTGTGGAGCGGTGTCGTACGAGTGCAAACCATTTGCATCAGATGAGAATAAGTTGTCTCTTGTATGCCAGATGCGCCTCGTGTGCCATTTTCTCGATAGTACTGCTTCTATGGCTGCTGTTGGGTTGCAAAAGAAGATATGGCGCAGGACTGTGGGCGAAGTTCACAAGTGCCTTCGGGATCCTATCGTTCGCCATGAGATGAACAAGCCTGTGGCTTGCGATGCAGATTTAATCGTGGATTCGAAGTTCGGCCCTCACCGACGAGTCGCACACTATGGAGCTCCAGCACGCCCTCGGAAGGTAAACGCAAATCGCAATGGGGTTTGACATGCAGAATGGCAAACGAACCTTCATACCAGGGACCCTTCAAGTAAACCATGCGGTCTCGAAGAATGCGCGCTACAATGCATATGTATTTGGAACAGTTGCGGATAATAATTGTAAGATATTGCGCGACCAGGGCTTGCCGAGACGATTTGCGAAAGTCGAGACTGTTAATTATAGTATAGAATGGGCGACCCCAGACGGCGCGAGCACCAATTTAGGTGAAACGCATCGCGGGATTTTGAAAAATCTCGGGTCGCAGTGAGGATTATTCCAAGGGAATGCGCCTTGGAAGAACTGAAAAAGAAATGGCAGGAGCTGCGTTGGAGGGTCAACGAAGGAATCAACCGCAAAAGCGTGCCCATGGGAGACAAACAGATAATGCATCTGACTCTCTTTCTGATCAACAGGCATCCGCAGGACGAGTGGATTTTGAATTCCCAGTTTCGCGTAGGACGACACCTTTGAAACAAGTTCAAGAGCCACGGAACGCAGTGAAAGTGCGCAGGTTTCCTAGAAATTCGACAGCGAAAACGCGTGAACTTCGGAAGAAATTGCGTGAATGGTTGAAAGGTCCAGACAAAGAGCTTCACCTGCCGGGTCCTTCTGCCCAGGAACGTCTATATTGCCACCCGCGGTGCGACGCTTGGCTGGGGATCGCACATTCGTCCAGCGGCGTAGCACCAAACAGAGTACTACACATCACTCGAGGTACCATTGTGTTCAGGCGGCAGGTGCGCGCAAGGGACCTCGACAACGATCCAGACGACGCGTCTTCCGAGGGCGGCAGCGTTTCGACAGCCTTCAACTTCCGACGCCGACGAGCCAGCTACACCTGCATGGAAGAGAGCAAAAGACACCCTGAAGAGAGAAAAAGGCACCATGGAACATATAACAGAAAAACACCCCCCCCCCCAAAAAAAAAAAAAAAAAAAAAAATAAAAATAAAAAAAAAAAAAAACTCCGAGTTTGCATGTGCTTCTGGCATGTTTCGTCCCCCCAGTCCGCCTTCAAAACAAATTCCCCTGCACGCTCGGCAGCTGGCCGCCTCCCGCGAGCCTCGCCCCGCGCGCCGCCCACGGCCCCCGCCTGGCCCCCGCGGCGCGGCCACGGGCCAGGCGCGCGGCCCTCCCGAGGGGCTGCCCCCGAGCCCCTCGCGGGCGGCCCCGGTGGGCGCCCGGCCCTGCCCCTGCCCCGGGAGCGCCCAAGGCAGGCCCGCTCCGATCCCTTCTCCTCCTCCTCCTCCTCCTCCTCCTCCTCCTCCTCCTCCTCTCCTCCTCCTCCTCCTCCTCCTCCTCCTCCTCCTCCCCCTCCCTCCTCCTCCTCCTCCTCCTCCTCCTCCTCCCTCCTCCTCCTCCTCCTCCTCCTCCTCCTCCTCCTCCTCCCCTTCTCCCTCCTCCTCTTCCTCTTCCTCCTCCCCGATTGGGACGCGATGCGCCCGATTGGGACGCTATGCCGATGTCGGCGGCTGGCCCTGCCCCTGCCTCGTGAGCGCCCAAGGCAGGGCCGCTTCGCTTCCTCCGGTTCGATCTCGATGGGGACTCGCTCGGGGCTCGATGCCGATCTCGATCTCGGGGCGATGCCGATTTTCGGATCGGCTTGGGATTCCGATGTGGGCTCCGACTTCTCAATGGGGGCCGACTAGCTTGCCGCTTTCCGCCGATTCGACTTCTCCAGCCTCGGCTGCCGCTCCCCGCCGATCCGCTTCATCTCGACCGCCGATCCGACTCATCGACTCGATCCCGGGCCCTCTTGCCTTGCCCCTGCTCGGGAGCGCCCCACCAGAGGGGTGTGATGCTTGCGGGGGGGGGGGGGGGGAGGGGGGGGGGATATCCTGTCCCGACGCGGGTACGTATAGCGAACCCCGCCTCGCGGAAACCCTCGCTGGCCGAGGAGCTGCTCCGCAGAGGCCTCCTCCAGGAGGGGCCGGGCACCCTTCCGAGAGGCCTCCCGGGCGCTCTCGGAGGGGACGGGCCTCGCCGTGCCCCCGCGTGCGCACCGCCGAAGCCCCCCCCCCCCCCCGGGCGCCCCGCCTCGCCCTCGCAGGTCTGCGGCGCGCCTGTCCGCTCAGCGCTCGCGGCGTCGAAGTGCCCCAGCGCCCACGCGTGCGCCCACGCGCGCTGGCACGGAGCGCCCACGCGTGCGCCCCCGCGAGTCACACAGCGCGGCACGCCGCCACGGGCCCGGATACATCCCAGGCTTCACTGCCCCATCGTCTTCTGCGGACTTTCGCTCCGACCCCGCACGGAGGGAGGAAGGTCGACCTCGCTCGAGGTCGGAGCGAGAAGATTATCGCTCCGATTTCGTCGTCCCGGATTTCATGGCCCCTCTTCTTCTTCCAGTGCGCCCCCCACCTCCTCTGTTTCGCCCGCGCACATGTCTCAGGCCATGGCCAGCTTTTCATCCCGAACCGTTTCCAGAGGAGGGGGGAGAGGTGGAGGAGGAGGAGGAGGGGGAGGAGGAGGAGGAGGAGATGAAAGGAGGAAGAGGAGGAGAAGGAGTGCGAAGGGGGGCAGAGCGAGGGGAGGAGGAGGAGGAGGAGGAGGAGGAGGAGGAGGAGGAGAGGCGAGGAGGAGAAAAAGAGCAGGAGAACCAGTGCAAACCAAAGACTCAACGATTTTAGAGTACACCCTCCTTCCAAACTCACTCCCCACAGGCCCCCTACAAGGGTTTATTTTCACTGAGGGGATTGCCCCGCTGAGGGACAAGCGTGTGGAAATCCTGGGGCGTGCCAAACACCGTTGCCAAGTTTCAACACCACGAGTCGACCTGACTGTTGCGTCTTGGCGATCCTGAATCGCGCTAGACAACCATTCACGGGCCTTCAACACAGCGAATCAACGTAAGTTGCGCCCTGACAGTCCTGAATCGCTCAAAGCATCATTTTTATACGTGAACCATGAGAACCAATGAAAGGCTTGTAAATGTTTGCAGCGAAAGTGCGCGGCGCCAAGGCGAGAGTCACAGTTTGAAAAGGAACCGCCCGCAATCCATGAAACTTCTGCCATTTGTTAAGACGAATGAATGCGCGCGGCGCCAAGGCGAGAGCCGCGTGTTGAAACGACGCGCCCACAATCCGTGAAACTCTTGCACAAGTGCGGAACGAATGTGCGCGGCACGAAGGCGAGAGCCACATGTTGAAAAACACCCGCCCTCCATCTGTGAAACGGTTGCCAGTTGTAAGCTTCAGGCTCCTGGGTGGCGAGGAAATACCAAGCGAAACGCCCAGCCCGCCCTTTCCGACTGCTTTCGGGGTGCGACAGAAGAAAGAGGAGGAGGAGGAGGAGGAGGAGGAGGCGAGGCGAGGAGGAAAAAAAGAGCAGGAGAACCAGTGCAAACCAAAGACTCAACGATTTTAGAGTACACCCTCCTTCCAAACTCACTCCCCACAGGCCCCTACAAGGGTTTATTTTCACTGAGGGGATTGCCCCGTTGAGGGACAACCGTGTGGAAATCCTGGGGCGTGCCAAACACCGTTGCCAAGATTTCAACACCACGAGTCGACCTGACTGTTGCGTCTTGGCGATCCTGAACCGCGCTAGACAACCATTCGCGGGCCTTCAACACAGCGAATCAACGTAAGTTGCGCCCTGACAATCCTGAATCGCTCAAAGCATCATTTTTATACGTGAACCATGAGAAACAATGAAAGGCTTGTAAATGTTTGCAACGAATGTGCGCGGCGCCAAGGCGAGAGTCACAGTTTGAAAAGGAACCGCCCGCAATCCATGAAACTTCTGCCATTTGTTAAGACGAATGAATGCGCGCGGCGCCAACGCGAGAGCCACGTGTTGAAACGGCGCCCCCACAATCCGTGAAACTCTTGCACAAGTGCGGAACGAATGTGCGCGGCACGAAGGCGAGAGCCACATGTTGAGAAACACCCGCCCTCCATCTGTGAAACGGTTGCCAGTTGTAAGCTTCAGGCTCCTGGGTGGCGAGGAAATACCAAGCGAAACGCCCAGCCCGCCCTTTCCGATTGCTTTCGGGGTGCGACAGAAGAAAGAGGAGGAGGAGGAGGAGGAGGAGGAGGAGAACGAGGCCGCGCGCCCCAGCCAGCCCCCCGCGGCGCTGCTGCGGGCCGCGGCCCCGCGGCCCTTCCGAGGAGCTGCTCGAGTTCGTCACGGGCAGCTCCGGGCTGCCCGTGGGCGGCTTCGCGGCGCCGCGCCCCGCACCGCCCCGCGGCCCGCGGCCCCCGTCCCGGGGGGGAACTGGTTGGTCAACAGCAGTTCCTGTTCATTCTGAACAGGACTCGCTGTCGGTGTCGGCCTGTGTCCATTTGAGCAAGAAGGCCGCCTGTCCAGCAGCGGCCGCTGTTGGTTTGGACAACATTTGTTGTTGGGCATTGTACCCATTCGTTCCGTGCCCATTTCGGGCGTCCAAATCCCTGAGGCCTCGCAGGTGGCCCCAGGAAGCCCCAGGAAGCCCCCCAGGAGGCCCCCAGGAGGCTCCAAGCAAGCCCCCAGGGGTCCCCAAGAGCACACCGAGAGGGCCCCCGAACACATCCCGTGTCGAAGCGGGGAGTGTGACCCCGCAGTTCCCGTGCCAGGCGGAAGGATGTGGAGATCATTTCACGGATCGCAGGGGGTTTATGGCACACCTGCGCTCTCACCATAACTTGCGATCGCATGGTGACGTGATTGCACAGTGTAACACTTGCATATGTTGTCGAGGTGTTTTCTGGGGTCGGGCCTGTGCTGCGCGGCGTCTAGCATTAGCTGTGCAGCGGGGACGCTTCAGGAGGCAAAGAAACACACAGACACAATTTATCGTCGAATCCAAGGAAATATGGCCAAATGTGGGAAGTGGGGGGAAGACAAAAGCAAACAACAAAATGTGAATCTATGGGGGATCTTCTCATTTGCGTATTTGTGTGTCCCAGGGCCCCTTCAACATTGCCCGACACTCCGAAGGAGTTCAGTGGCAAAAGAGCTGCAGGCGGCCGGCTGGATGCAGGAATCTATTCCAGCGAAGCGTGGAGCAGATGGGGCCCACGCGTCGGCGCCGCCGACAAAGCAGCCACCTCAGGGTTGCAGCAAAAGGAAGGAGACGAAAGGCGACCTGTACGAGGCACTGGTGAAGTGGTAGCCAAGATGTGCCGCAACAACGCGCGCGAGCTGGCAAACCCCGCGGGCACGGTGTTCTGGGCATGGGAGTTGGAGGATGGGCCCCAGTCCATCGCGCAGATCCTGGCCGACGCCGGTGGCAAGCACGAGCGATGTCTCCAGAAGCCTCAAGGAGCGGCAGCAAAACGGAGAGCAGATCGATTTTCAGGCCCGAGGATTTTCGTATGTGTTGATGTGGTCAGTTGTGAGCCCCCAGGTCGTCAATCACGCGCGAGCGTTTCTAGATGGAACGGATTGGATATGTGCCCTCATCGATTTTTTTTGCCCGAAGAACATCCACGCTAAGAAATCCCCGACATGTAGCGAAGCACGTGTTTCACTTCCGATACCGGGAGGACAATGGGAAGAGGTGCCAGAGCCAGGGCGGCGCGCAGGCGTCGCAGGGCAACCAGGGCCACAGCTCGACGAAGAAAGGCAGGTTAACGTCCGCTTTCAGTTGCGGCAACCCAGGGAGGGAGGCCAGAACCATGCTGCTCCAGTTCTTGAGCGCCACGACGTTGTCCAAGGCCGACCAGCTCATCGGTTTACCCCCTCGCGGGACCTTCGAACGCGAGGCGTCGAGCCTCTCCTCCCCCATCGAGAAGGGACGCAGGGAGTTGGTGGAGTGAGCCAGGACGAGGGCGCAGAGAGGCCTCGGAACAGCTCCCATGACGGCCTCCGAGAGAGACGAAATTTCAGCAGCGGAGCGTTTGTAGGTAGTGAGCGCATTGCAGGATGAGTGGCCCGAGGAGTGATTCCCGACCCGCTTAGGGCCACACGGGTTTTGATACACACTCGACAGCAGATCCCCCCCGATCCCCCAAGTTTGCGGATCCTAGACGGGCTCCACGGAAAGGGGGCGGGCAGTAAGAAGCACGGTGGATCTAGTCACGAGTCGATCCCATAGGCGGCCTTCTCAAGCACGCTCGCGCGGCGTCAGAGGGTTCGCCGTCGTTCGGGGGCAGCGCTGGACCTGCCAAAACGCCCCCCCCCCCCCGCGCATTTCCATTTAAAGATTCACCCGCCCCACCAAGATGTCGTGTCGCGCAGAACCCTTAGCCGCATGTACGGCGTGAGGTTTGAGCAACTGGTTTGGGCTCCACGCGCATTGCTCATTGTTCCTCCGCCTCCTCCTCCTCCTCCTCCTCCTCCTCCTCCTCCTCCTCCTCTTCCTATTCGGGAACGAAGGCTGCGAGCTGGTTGCTCTGAAATGTTGGAGTCGCCGAGCGCGAATATCATGAAGTGGTCTGAATCCCTCTGTCTGCGCGGCCTGCCACGCCGCCTTGAAGTTCCTTCTGCCATCCTCTGTCACATCGTGGTTGTGGATGTTGGAATACACATGAGTGAAATCACGGTGTGGATCGCGAGCTCGAAGTTCAGCGATGCGGCCAGGGGCGATGGTCTTGAAGCGGATGTCGGGGAGCGCTGCGAGCCTTGGTCGCGGTTGGGAGCATTTCAGCACGAAGAAGGCGACTCCGCCCGCGGCTCCCCGATCTGGCGTTCAAGCAGATGGAGGAGATCTGCATTACTTCGACGACGCATCGAAGAACGGCCACGAATTCCGGAGCCCTGCATCGACAAATTGATTTTTTCCCAGGCGCGCGACCTACCGCACGCAAAGACCATCACTGCGGTTGATGGCTTCCCAGTGGAACGGCGCGCGGCGCGGCGGCAGCCAGGGGTCGCAAATTCCAGCGCGTTTGGATTTGTCTGCGCGCGCAACGACCGCGCCGCGAACGCGGCATCCCCTCTGACATCTGAGGAACTGTCCAACAATTCCAATTACTTCGACCTCGCACCTATCGGCACATGAGGGGCGATCAAAGACCATGGGACATGCAGCTGCCCGAGCTCGCGACGCCCTGGCCCACCTCTCCCCCGGCGCGCCCAATCGCGACCCCGTCGACACCGCCAAGTAGATAGCGCCGGCGACGAGGAGCATTGCAAGAGCCGCTTGGCACCAAGACAGCATATTGGAGCAGCTGCTCGGGGCGCCGCGAGTGCAGGGACAGCACATCGAGGGTGGCCGCGCGTAGCCAGCGCGCGCCCAGCTCGCCGACCCCGGCATCTTCGGCACTGCCGCCGCGGAAGAACGCGCTGCCGCCGCAGGAGACGCGCCCACGTTGCCGCGCGTTGACGCCAGGCTCATCAAGACCAACAGCGACAGCATGGCGGCAGATGAAGCAAAAGACAAAGCAGCTCACGCAGAGGATAACCGTGGGAACCTTTTGAAAAGTGTTCGGCGTTGGCCACAATCCAAATGGCCCGAGAATCTCGCTCGCGCACCGCGCCCTCGCCCGCGGACACGCGCGGTGCGACCCTGGCGCGCTGGTCCCCGACATTCGACGACAAGGCCACCGACCCCCCTTCCGTGGCGCGCAACCTCAACACCTTCTTCCCCGAGCCCCACGCGACTTCAATTACTCCACGATGGAGGGGGCGACGAACCAGCGGGGCCGGAAAATGCGCGCAAGCTCCCGACCGGCTAAAACCCCGAGACACGAGGAGTACGACCGTGAAAATAACCGCACCGGCGGCGAACGTCAAGAGGTCATCGGCAATCCAGCGCGGCTTCGCACCAGGGCAACAACTGATCAACGACATCGTCGAGGTGGACCCACGCGGCAGACCTTGCCGCATCGACCCCGAAGCCGGCACCAAACTGCCCTGCTTCCTGAGCATGGACATCACGGCAGCGTTCTCGAGCCCCCCGCATCCATGGCTCTGGGGCCTCGCCCGTCTCTGGGGCATTGCGGGGAGATCCCCCACGTGTTTGCATTCGTTCTACAAGATGCCGATGGCTTTTCTTGAAATTGGTGGAACTCGCCGCGTTTGTTCGTGGCAGCCTGCGGAGTCGCTCAGGGTTTTCCTTTGAGGTCTACTTGGGCTCTGGTGTCTGACCCAATATTGAGAGGGAGATCCACGATTCCTTCCTTCCTACGCATAGGCCGTGATACGGCCAGCGCGCGCGCCGACGACGTCGGCCGCGTCCTTGCCCAAGTGTCTGACACGGGTGGTCCTCTTCGACACATCCTGGCTGCCGGAACAACATGTTGAATTATTCTGTCAACCGCGGAAATGCGTTCCCATGTTGGCATGGAAGACGATTGCCACCGAGCTGACCAAGCGGCTCCACGACACGCTGGGCCACGTCTACAACGATTGGGCGCATTTCAAGATCGAAGGCAAGGCCATGTACCTCGGCGGCTACGTCGGTCCAGACGCAGATGGCCCGGCTCAACGGGCATGCCCCAGCCCAGCAACCGAGCGGCATCGCCGCACCTAACTGCTCGGCGAAAAACAGATTCAGGAAAACGCTGCCATCAACCACGCAGCCCCCATCGCCTGCCCGACACGCGCTGCTCAACTACCCCCAGCGCCAGATTTGGTGCCAGGGAGGAAATCCACGCACAACTCGCGATGATTCGCTCGGCCGCGCATGCGCCCACTAAGCTTGACACGCGCGGACTGGCATCATTGGGCGCCACCCGGCGGCGCGCGGCGACGCCGCCCAACGAGATCTGCCCCGAGATGCATGACGCACTCGAGGCAGCCGCCGACCAACATACGCCGATCGTAGACAAGATTGCGGGCCGCTGGGGCGCTCCTTGTAGGCGCGCAATTCTGTCTATCTCACGACTTATTCACAGCGCAAACAACGGCGCTGCATTTCCGACGGGCAAGAGCTCAATCTTCGCGCATGCGAAGCGAAAGTTCCGAGAACCCGCGCAAGCACGACGCTGCCTTCTATTCGCGCATCGCCGTGCCCAACATGCAGGTTAGCTGGCCCGAGAACGCGGGCCGCGACAAGATGGCGATTCTCCCCGTCGGTCGCCACACCCCGCATATGTTTGTTTCAGATGCAGCGCCAGCTCTACGACGACGATTTCGACGTCGCGATCCCGAAGCGGCTGCTTTCTGGGCCTCCCTCATTGCCGACCGCGGCAGGCCCGCTCGAGCACTCATCGCGAGACTACAACCTAGGTGGCAATCGACGCCTCGCAAAGTACCAGCGCCGCCTGCAGCGCCTTTTGATAACGACGACAACATTGAAGGGGCGTCTCGCGAGCTTGCCGCAGTCCATGAAGTTCTGGAACACAAGGCACCGGATTGGCTTCCCGACCTTCTTCTGCAGAACGACCACATTAGGAACGAAATCGATGGGATGAACTGGTGCAAACAATTCCTCCTGCGAACACTCCGACGGCGAGGGTTCCAAGCTTTCCTGCGGGCTGGAAGTGGAGGCCATCTGCGTGATCGTGCTCTACGACTATTTGCGGAAGCATGGCAAAACTCATGCACCAGTCGTTGATTCGCTTGCCGCTTCAGGTGAAGCGCCCGTGTCTTCCCCGACTCCATATCACCTGCCCTCGGGTCCGGCATGTCGCAGCACTACCGCGCGGGCGCCTTCATATTTGCGTGCTGGCCCGATTCGGACTCCACGATGCGAACTTCGTTGCAGATCTTGCCGCCGACAACCGCACCGGCCATGTCTTGATCCGCATGACCGTGATCTACCGCATGTACCACACCAAGGATTCCGAGGTTGATGCCTCCAACTTGAGCCCCAGGTAGAGGCCACCCGCGCGACACGTTTCGCCCCACGGCGGCGGTGCGCGCGGCCTGCTCCGCGGCCTGGCTTGCAGCCTCCCCCCCCTCGTCCCCGACCGCCGTCTTCCCCGTCCTCGCGCGATCCCGTCTTCGTGCCGTCCGACCGCCGCCCTCTCCTCATTCTTCAAAGCGAAGTCATTCACACGGACGTGCACGCGGCCGCCCCAGCTATTTCGCCACCCGTCATCCATATCGGCGAGACGCTGAGCGAGCGAGCGGGTGACAGCACCCCCCTCAGCAGCGCAGCTGGCCTTGCTCGCGGCCAGTGCCGAAGAGCCGCCCCCGAGAGACCACGCTCCATCCTCCTCCTCCGCCTGGGGTTCTCCTCCTCCTGCTCCTCCTCCTCTTCCTCCTCCTCCTCCTCTTCCGGCTGCTCCCCCTCCGGTTCCTCCTCTTCCTCCTTCTCCTTCTCCTCCTCCTCCTTCTCCTCCTCCTCCTCCTTCTCCTCCTCCTCCACCTCCTCCTCCTCCTCCCCCTCCTCCTCCTCCTCTTCCTCACCATCATCATCAGCAGCATCAACATCACCATCACCATCCATCGCCATCAGCAGCATGAGCACCAGCATCAGCAGCATGAGCATCAGCATCAACATCAGCATCATCATCGTCATCACCATCAGCATCATCATCATCATCAGCAGCAGCATCATCATCCGCCTCATCCTCCTCATCCTCATCGTTTTCGTCCTCATCTTCATCGTCCAGGGGCGCGATCTGCAAGATCCGTGTGGGAGAAACGGTGGCGAAGACGGGCAGCAAGCCTTGCCCGTTTTGAACAGGTCTCGCCGTCGGCGTTACCGCAGGCAGTGTCCTTTTGAGGCAGAAAATCGCCTGCCAAACAGCGGCCGCCGTCTGTTCGGGACTACGTATGCTGTTCGGTATCGTATCCATTATTGCCATGCCCGTATCCGTCACGGACGCGCCAACGGGTGGGGGGGAAGGCGTTTCCAGTTGAACACTAGCGAGGGAGCGCACACATGGAGCAACGCGTGTGGACTGGCGGCGGGCCCCCCGCTTCCATGCGGAATCGGCGCGGTCCGTCGCCACATCGGGCGGCACGTGCTTCGTGTCTCGGGGGGACGTCCCCCCGATCCCTGGTCCACGCTGTCGTGCGCCCGAGAGCCGGCGCGTCGGATCGGAGACCAGCCGCCGTGCCAGCAGGCGTCCCGGAAGCCCCGTCCCCCGAAGGCCCCGTGGACCTGCAGGGGCGTTAGGGCACCACAGAAGGGCTGCAGACGGACGACGAAAGCGCCCCTGGGCTTCTCACGGCAAGCTATTTGTTCGTACGTGTCCCAGTTCCAAGGTAGTCGCGATTGGGCTTTGGGCGTTCTTGGAATCCCTCTCGATCCGTGAGGCATGTGGCGCCGAGGAGAGGAAGACGAGATGGGATGAGGATGAGAAGGACGAGGACAAAGGAGGAGAAGGAGAATGAGGAGCAGGAGCAGGAGGGCGCTTCCATATCGATCTCTACCCCACGTGATCGGTTCGCTTCTGGCCACTGGGGCACGCCGTGCACAGCGCCCACCGCGGAACTTCTGAGGCACATCATTGTGGTGACATAGCAGTCCCCAATCAGCTCTTGCACCGAGGCGCTCAGGGGCTTCACTTGTGTTCTCGGCAGTTGGCATGTGCTTCAGGGTTTCCGCCAGGCTGCCGCCCGTGGCGGCCGCGTGGCCGCCTCGTCGCCGCCTCGTGCGCTTGCCGGTGCTTCCGGGTCGTCGCCCAGCGGCTGCCCCTGGCCGCCCGTCGCTGCCTCCTGCGCCACCACACAGCTTGGCCCACGTGGCCTCCGCCACCTGGCTTGCATAGAGTGCACAGCACGGCTTCCCCCACACGGCTTGCATTGTATTGCCTTGCGCCAGATGGTTTCCAGCACATCGAGCGCACCAGAGTCCACCAAGGAGCTTACGCCACACGGCATAAACCACACAGCTTGCACATGCACAGTGCACAAAGTTAGGGTGCGTGGTCCACGCCGGCAAATATTTTGTTACTTTCGTCGTTGGTTGCCCTGGTCCTCCCTTCGACAGTTGTGGCTCTCGCAAAAACTACTCCTCCATCGTCGCCCGTCCCCCTCCACCTCTGGCACTCCCCCCGAGACCGCTGGCGGCCACGGCGGCAACAGCTTTCCTCGTCTTCCTCGCCTGCCTCGCCTGCCTCGGCTTCCTCCTCCTCGGCTTCCTCCTCCTCCTCCTCCTCCTCCTCCTCCTCCTCCTCTCCCTCCCTTTTTCGCACCGCCATCAGCGGCATCATCGCCATCGCCACCACCATCATCATAATCGTCGTCGTTGTGGTACTCGTAGGCATCATCAACGTCATCACCATCAGCACCACCATCACCACCACCATGGTTATCATCATTATCAGCAGCATCATCATGAGTTGCCAGAAATTCGTGTCGAAGGAATTATCAAGACTCTTCAGCAATCTTGAGGAATCCTCCGGAATCCTAGCAAATCCGTCGGGAATCCACTTGGAAGTTTTGAATACAAAGAACCTCACGAATCCATCTTGAGGAAGCCTTAGTCTTCAGGAATTCCTTTGGAACCCTTCAGGAGCCCGCAGGAACCCTCAGGAATCCTTCAGGAGTCTTCCGGACTCCTCAGGAATCCTCTGGAATCTCTTTGGAATCTGTTTAAGGAATCGTCAGGTACCAATCAGGAGCCCTAGGAGAATTCACCCCAGTCAGAAACCGGCACGAATTCCTAGCGCATTCGTTTTGGAATCCCCAGGGATCCTCGGAAATCCCAAGGGATCTTCAGGAACCCTTCGGAAATCCCACAGGAATCCCCAGGAGTCCTCGGGAATCCTAAGGAATCCTTGGGGAATCCCTAGGGATCTTTCAGTAATCCTTGGGGAACGCTTCAGGAATCCCGCAGGAGTCTTTTTGGAATCCTTTGGAATCCTTGGGGAATCCTCAGGAATCCCTCAGGAATCCTCTGGAACATCAAGAATCCCTAAGGAATCCTTTTGGAATTCTTCCGGATTCCGATCGGAATTTCCGCAGGAATCGTGAGGAATCGCTCAAGAAGCCCCAGAGGAAACCACGGGAATCCTTCACGAAGCCGAGGAGGCGCCTTCAAGGAATCGCCGAGGAGGCGCCTTCAAGGAAGCGCCGATCAGGCGCCTGTGTAGCGCGTGTCAAGGGCTTCAAGCGCCTGGAAAGTGAAATTGGACTAGTTGGGATCTGGGCCGGTCTGGTTGTATGTCTGGTTGGGGTTGGGACCGCTCGACTGGGATCTGAACCGTCTGGTTGGGTTCTGGACCTTTCTCGTCTGGCCTCCTCGGCGCAAGCCGCTGCTGCCGCCTCGGTGTCCCGCCGCACCCCCTCGCACGCGTCCAGGCGCTCTCCGGCTACGGCTCGGACGTGCACAAGTTCCGCGGGGCGAGGGGGCGCCGGGCACGGGGCCGGCCGCGCACGCGCCGGTGGGCGCACGCGCAGCGGGGCGGCCGGAGGGCTCTGGAGACCTCCTCCGCGTCCTCCTCCCCGCCCTCCCTCGCCCACTCGTCCCTGCACAGCGAGGCTGTCCTCCTTGGTCCGCGGGGGCCCCGGCGGGCCCCTGGGGCCCCGTCGAAGGGGCCTCTCGGGGGGTGCGCCCCCCTGCTGCTTCGGAGCGTCTCTCTGTCCCGGGCTGGGGCGAGGCGCCCGCCGCGAGCTTGCCTGCCGCGCCGTGGGGGCCTCTCCGGCGCGGCGCCAGCCTGCGCCCCCTGCCCCCCCCCCTCTCCCCCTCCTGCTTCTCCGGGGCCCATCACTGCCAAGCAGCCGCAAGCGCTCGGGGGGCATCCTTCCGCAGTGCCGCTGCGAGACCCTCGCGGCAGTCCCAAGATTGTGAGGTCCAGGCCACACCCCTCCCTCGCGGCCCGAAGCCCAGAGCCCCTCCCGAGTGCGAGGTGGTCACTTCAGCGTCTCGACTGCAGCACGGAGCACCCGGAAACCCTCGGCCACGCGCAGAGGGGGTTAGGTGGAGGGGGGGAGGCTTCTTAGAAGGAAGTTGCTTCTTAGAAGGCGCGGGCCCTGTGTGTAAATGTAAGGCCGACGCCTTCTAAGAAGCAGCCGCCAGCAAAGAGGCCGACCCCCATCCCTCATACCCCCCTTTGCCTGAGAGCCGACGCCGCTGCAAAACAACAGAAAACAAAAACATCGAAAAGAATTGCAGGTCATCGCGCCTGGAGCCCCGGACCCCGTCTTCCCGCGTCACTCTTCGAGCCCGATCGATCCGTGAGGGCCCCCGGGCCCGACACGGAGCGAAAGCGCCCGCTGTGAAAGCAGTGCGCAGCGCCAGGAGGAGGAGGAGGAGGAGCAGGATGAGGGTGAAAAGGAGGGGGAAAAGGAGGAAAAGGAGGAGGAGGAGGAGGAGGAGGAGGAGAACGACGAGGAGGAGGAGGAGGAGGAGGAGGAGGGGGAAGAAGAAGAGGAGGAGGGTTTTGGCAGGCGCCCTAAGGCCGCCAAGGGGCGTTCCCATGCGCACCCGCGCGGGCGACCTGCCGAGAGCGGCGCCGCTCCGCGCGCCCGCGCGAGAGGCACCGAGGCGGGCGCCGCTTGCGGCGCTGCTGCTCCCCCTCCTCCTCCACCTCCTCCTCTCCTCCTCCCCTCCCCCTCCTCCACCTCTCCCCCTCCTCCTCCCCCTCCACACTCCTCCTCCTCCTCCTCCTCCGTCCTCCTCCTCTCCTCCTCCTCCTCCTCCGTCCTCCTCCTCCTCCCTCCTCCTCCTCCTCCTCCTCCTCTCCTCCTCCTCCTCCCCCCTGTCCTCCTCCCCCTCCTCCTCCCCTCCTCCTCCTCCTCCTCCTCCTCCTCCTCCTCCTCCCTCCTCATCCTCCTCCTCCTCCTCCTTCCTCCTCCTCTCCCTCCTCCTCCTCCTCCTCCTCTCCTCCTCCTCCTCCTCCTCCTCTCCTCGCTCCTCCTTCCCCCTCCTCCTCCCCCCTCTCCTCCTCCTCCTCCTCCTCCTCCTCCTCCCCCTCAGCCTTCCTCCCTCCTCCTCCTCTCCTCCTCCACCTCCTCCCACTCCTCCTCCCCCTCCTCCCCCTCCTCCCTCCCCCTCCCCTCCCCTCCTCCTCCTCCTCCTCCTTCCCTCCTCCTGCTCCTCCTCCTCCTCCTCCTCCTCCTCTCCTCCTCCTCCCCCTCCTCCCTCCTCCTCCTCTCCTCCTCCTCCTCCCCCCTCCTCCCCCTCCTCCTCCTCCTCCTCCTCCTCCCTCTCCTCCTCCTCCCCTCCTCCTCATCCCTCTCCTCCTCCTCCTCTCCTCCTTCTCCTCCTCGCCCCTACCACCTCCTCCCCCTCCTCCCCCTACTCCATCCCCCACCCCCTCCCCCTCCTCCTCCTCCGCCTCCTCCTCCTCCTCTCCTCCTCCTCCTCCTCCGTCCTCCTCCTCCTTCCCCTCCCCCCCCCTCCTCCCCCTCCCCCCTCCTCCTCCCCTCCCCTCCCCCTCCTCCTCCTCCCCTCCTCCTCCTCCTCCTCCTCCTCCTCCTCCTCCTCCTCCTCCTCCTCCTCCTCCTCCTCCTCCTGATTCGCGAGGTCGGTCGAAGCGGAGGGGGGAAACGAGGCCCCGCCCCTCCAGGCCCCCTTGCCCCCTCGGGGGCCGCCGCGGACCTCTGGGCAGGGAGGGAGGGCCGTCGAGGTGCACCGGGGGGGGCGGGGGGAGGTCGGCGCTGCTCGGAGGGCGGGGGGGCCTTCTCAGAGAGGGTGCGCGAGGTGTCTGGGGCGGGCTGTGCTCCAGGCGCAAAGGGGCGGGGGAGGCTCAGGGGTTCGAGGATCGAAGGTTCGAGGTTTTCGGACGGTCCCGTGGGTCTTCCGCAGTTCGCTGGCCTCGGGATGCCTTGCGGCGGCTGCGCCTCGCCGAGAGTGTTCTGGGGGTGTCGGTGTCCAGATCATCCCGAACGGCTGCCAAAGATCGGGGAAACACAAGACCCGAGTAAGCCGGAACTCGGGTTGCCGACGTTTTTTTGACGAGCGCGTCCTGGATTTTGACGGTCCAGTTTTCGTGGGATGTCTGCAGCGGGAGCTCGCGTCAAATTTCAGATTGGGCCTCGTCATTTTTATGATGGCCCCGTCGGGCCAACCCGAGTCCCCCGTACCCGAGTTTTACGTCTCCCCGAAAAGAGCGAAGCCATGACCTGGAGACTTGGGGCAGCGTTGGGGGAGGGCTCCCTCTGGCTACGATGAGCCTCGTCTCACATGACCGTGCTTGAGTGACGCTGGCAGGACGGGCGAGGCTGGTCGCGGCTGCCACTTCGAAGGGGCTTTTGGTAGAGAGCCTCCAAATACAAGTTCAGACAGAAGGCGCAGGAGGAGAAGGAGGCGGGGGCGGAGGAGGACTTGGCATTGCTCGGACGTGTGCGTTGTTTTCTCATCGGGGACTATCGTGGAACATCTTGGATCACCTCGCGAAAAGAAACACGCACGAAGCCGAAAATTACACGGGGAATGAACGTCGGAGCGATGGCGAGACGAGGAAGAGGAGGAGGAGGAGGAGGAGGAGGAGGAGGAGGAGGAGGAGGAGGAGGGCCGCCCCGGGCGTCCGCGCCCTTCCCGACCCCGCCGCGCGCACGCTCAGCGGGGACCCCCCGCCCGCAGGTTCTGCGTCGCGGCCTCGCGCCGGGGCAGCCTGCCGGCTCGCCCGCGCCCGCCGCCTCCGCCAACGCCCCTCGCAGCGGCAACGTTACTGTCAGGCGCTGCTGGCTGAGCGTGTCGCGCCGCCGGTACTGGTCCACCACGCGTCGGCGCGACACGCTATCCACGTCTCCAGTCTCAAGCAACAGCGTCCCGAGTCATCGGAAGCCTCCTGCCCCGCAAAGCGGAGTGACACGCCATCCACTTGCAGGGCGTAGCGTGTCGCTGGGGCTTCCGCCGCGACACTCTAAGCAAAAGTTCCTGACTGGAAGGGGGGACAGGCTCAGGGGGGAGGTTCGAGGTTCGAGATTTTCCGCTATATTCGTTGAGTCCTGGCAGTTTTCCGGCCTCGGGACAGCAGCTGCGCCTCGCCGAGAATCAAGTCGATGTTGACCGCTCATGCCCCTCTCAGAGTATGGGGGGATAGGGTCAGGGGGGACGCATCAACCCCTGATCGCCCATTCATCGCCGATAGATGTCTGATAGCCCGCCCCGCCCAGGAACATTCGAGTTCGTGGTGGCTCCCCCCCATGAGCCAGTGCCCCCACATCGCTCCACCCCGAACGTTGCAGAGTAGGACTCTGGAAGAATCCTGCCTGAGCCACCGAAGAATGCAGAGTACAGTCAACCCGCATAGCGAGGATGATCAATTTTCCCGAGGGTACCCTTGCATCCTTGCCCCTTCGGCCCATCCTTGGCCACTTTCGTTGGCCAACCTCGTTCGAAAAACGCAAACGTGGCCCCGCGCGTCCCCATGAGACGGGTCGACTGCAGTGCGGCCCACAGCCGCAGTCTTCTCGGCTCAGTGCCCTGGACTGTCGGAGTCCCCATCCGCCGCGCCTCGACCCCCCCTCTCTCTCTCCGCGCTGGGCCTCTGCTCCACACCGCCGCTCCGCTAGTTTGTTATTATAGTATGAATGTATATATCTATGTATACATACATGCATACAAGCATACATACATACATACATACATACATACATACACACGTACATACATATATACATACATACATGCATACATACACATACACATACACATACACATACACATGCACATACACATACACATATACACATACACATACACATACACATACACATACACCTACACATACACATACACATACACATACACATACACATACATACATACATACATACATACACACGTACATACATACATACACACAGACATACATACATACATACATACACACATACATACAGCCATACATACATACATACATGCATGCATGCATGCATACACATACATACATACATACATACATACATACATACATACATCCATCCATACATACATACATACATACATACATACATACATGCATGCACATACATACATACACACAAACATACAGCCATACATACATACATGCATGCATGCATGCATGCATACATGCATGCATGCATACATACATACACATATACATATATACATACATACATGCATACATACATCCATACATACATACATACATGCATGCATGCATGCATGCATACATACATACATACATACGTGCACACATACATACATACATATGTACAAACATACCTACACACACGCATACATACATATATGTATACATACATACATACATACAGACAAACACACATGCATATATACATATATACATACATACCTACATACACGCATACATACATATGTGTATACATACATGCAGACAGACAAACACACATGCATACATACATACATACATGCATGCATACATACATACATACATGCAGACAATTATACTTGAGTTAATCAAAGCCGTAGGCACATCAAGTAAGAAATCTGCCAGCAGTCTTCAAACATCGGCCAAGAATGTTCCCACGGGTTTCGTTTGGCTTATAGCAAGATGCCTTAGAGTATGTACATCATGTAACGGCTCTCATCATCCTCCTCTTTCTTCTCCTCTTCCTACCCCTCGTCCTGCTCCTCCTCTTCCTCCCCCTCCTCCTCCTCCCCTGCCATCGGTCGAGGATCGAGGTTTCTGTTTGGTGTGCGTTCTTATGTGGGTCCCCGGAATGCTCCTCGTCACCGCGGCTAGTTTCTTTTCGACATCCTTGTCTACACGCATTCCCCCAGACAGGTCCAGGAGTGGCCTTTGGAAGGAGGAGGAGGCCCTCATCCTCGTCTTCTCTCGCGTTCCTCCTCCTCAGCTCCTTTTCCTTCGTCCAACTTAGATGTTCCCCTATCAGCGCTTGCACTGAAGGGGTCCGAGCGGAAATTGAAAGATTTGGCGAAAGTGTCCCGCCTTTTTTGGTGGCCGGCTAGGTTCCCGGGTTCCCGGTTCCAGATTCTCGGGCTCTTGCAGGGCATTGGTTCCGGGTCGATTTCGGTGGGTTCCAGGTTCCCGGGTTTTGGTCGATCTTTTGATCGATCAAACCATCCATTGATTGGATTTTTTCTCTGGTGTAATACTTCTAGTCTAGTCCTTCCTGTCGCGCTCACAGACGTATCTGTAGTTTCGGGCTGGCGTTGTGCCTAAGGCTTCTTCTCCACGTCTGATCTGAAGATTGAGATGCGCAACTGTAACAATGAGGGGGTCGTTTTCAAAATGGGTTCTTGCCGTAGCGCCGCGAACGCTGGTGTTCTTCAAGGAGGCCGTTTTCAAAAATGGGGCAACCGCCTTCCGCGCCGCGTGCATTCGTTGAAAAGCTTGCCACAGCTACCAGGATCGAGTGGGTCGATCTCATACTGGGATTATCGCGGTGGCGCCTCGCCTATTAGTTTCAACCGTTTGCAGCAGGGATGGGTGGGGTTGTTTTCCCAGTCATGATGTTGGTTTATCGCCGCGCACATTCCTTTTTGAATTGTGCAACAGCTTCAAGATGGATGGCTTCTTTTGGAATGTGGCTTCGCCTGAACGGTACGCGCATTCGGGTTTCAAGTCCGCAGCAGTTAGGTGCATGGACGGAGGACATATCAGTTTCAAATGGGTCTCTCGATTGAGATTTCCAAATGTGTTGCAGATTATTGGTTTGAACATAAGTAGCAGTCGCACGGATGAATGGCGGTTCTTTTCTAATATGGGGCCCTCGCTTGAGACTTCCTTGACGCTCTCGGTCAGCATTGAAAACTTATGAAGCAGTTACACTTGTTGGGCGGGCTTTTGTTTCCAGAACAGGGATATCGCTGGACATTGCGTTGAATGATCATACAGGTTCGCTCGCTTTTATTCGCCACGGGGATGGAAATCAGCTCCTTTTCTATGCGGGGTTCTCGCCTGAATGCCAGGCCCCTGGGGTGATGATGGCTTTTCAGTGGGGCGTGCCTTGTAGTAAAGAGGAGGGCTCCTAGGGACTTGCGAGAAGGGGACATGGGACGGGAGGGTGTATTTCAGAGCAGGGCTGGACCTAAACGGTGTTTTTGGCGATTTCGTGGGCCGTTTTCGTTCCGACTTCGTTGTTGAGGTAAAGGCGGATTCGTGGCAAAAGCGAGGGCAAACGAAAGCAAAACGAAGACGAAAAACACCGTTTAGGTTCATTCCTGTTTCAGAGCACCGTTGATGCAGCTTGGGCTTATCTTGGCTCTCAGCATCATTACCCTCGGCTCGACAGGGCGTTCCTCTGCGCGTTGCGCGAAGGCTTCCTCACTCGAGCAGCGCAGCCGCCCATAAAAGCCGCCGTCCGTGCTTGTTTCTTCTGGCCAAGGAAACTCACATCGAGAGCACGGGGCTCCCAGACCCTGAGTCCTTCATGGGCGTCAGGGTCGACGTGCTCCTTGAAAACGCCTGAGGGCCGAAATGCGGAAAGTACCATTGCGTAGAGTTCTCAAATCATTGTTGTGAGTGTGTGTGTGTGTTTCGTACACTGTGGCAAGCCGCGTGGGCCTCGAAGGGACAGTGTGTGGCACAGCGACGGCACTTCGTTGGCACGTTCTGTTGCTACCCACCTTTGGCTCTGAGCAGATCATTCCTGGTTGGCCCTGTTTCCCTCACCGCTCCGAGACCAAGTCTTGCTACTGCGAGTTACAACAGCAGACACAATGTTAGAACTTCTTCTGCCAGTACGGCTACATACGCTGCACGCACTGTCGAAGAAGCCGACGGCGAACCACCGCCGACCACTGCTTTTTGGAAGGGCCTGTGTTGCCAATCGTTGGGCCAAAGCGCTGATAATAGTTCATTATATGCACTCTCCTCCCCCCCCCAGCCGTTGTGGAAACATTGTTTGGACGGGGGGAAGAGGAGGAGGAGGAGGAGGAGGAGGAGGAGGAGGAGGAGGAGGAGGAGGAGCAGGCGGAGGAGGAGGAGGAGGAGGAGGAGGAGGAGGAGGAGGAGGGGGCACGGAAGAGCAGGAGGAGGTTGAGGCTTCCATGACCTTCTTGAGGCCTCCCGGAACAATCTTTTTTGGAGCCCCCAGAGGGCACGTTCCGCAGGGGACTCCAGAGGGCCCAGCTATTGATTGCACGCTTGGGTAGATGATCCTGCAGCAGACGTTGAATGTGTGGCGCCCCCCTGAGCCTCACCCGAGACCGTTCGGAGAGAGGGGGGGGATCTATCGATATATATATATATATATATATGTACCAGACTGCATTGGCGATTCGCGCCATGCATCTTATTCCTTGTAGTTTCGAATGCAGGCGGCGTGCGTGCGCGTGGACATGGGGCGGGCCACCGCCAAGTCGGAATGGGTGAGGAGTTCTTGAGACAGGGCGACCAGACAACACCTGCTGAGGCCATCTGAGGGCGTTTCGGGGCCCAGAGGCGCGAATCTGTCTCAGGCGAGTGGTTCGGCTAGCATGAAGCCGGGCATCCTCCTCCGCTTTCTTCTCCTCCCCCTTTTCTTTCTCATTTTTCTCCTCCTCATCCTCATCCTATTCCTCCTCTCTCCCCCTCTTGATCTGATTCCTCCTTCTCCTCCTTCTCCTCTACCTCCTTCTCCTCCTCCTCCTCCTCCGCATCCTACAGAGCATACGATTTTCGGCATGCGCGCTGCGGAACTGCCGGCTTCGAGCCCCAAAAGAGGCCCAGGTTGGCCCAAGAAGGCCAAAACATTCACCATCAACGAAAACCCATTTCCTCCTCCTCCCCCTCCTCCTCCTCCTCCTCCTCCTCTTCCACCATAAAAAAAACGAAAACCCATTTCCTCCTCCTCCCCCTCCTCCTCCTCCTCCTCCTCTTCATTCTCCTCCTCATTCTCCTCCTCCTCCTCCTCCTCCTCTTCCTCCTCCTCTTCCTCCTCCTCCTCCTCCTCCTCCTCCGCCTGCTCCTCCTCTTCAATGTTTTTCGCCTTCTCGCATTTCGCTTACGATCGGCTCTTGCCCGCGGCTGGCACAACAGGCCCGCAGAGCCGGGAATCAGAAAGAAAACGAATTGGAAAAGCAATGTGTTCGGCCTTGTCGCTTTTCCTTTCCGGTTGGCTCGAGAGGCGTCGAAATGACCCCAGGATTGCCTCAGAGAGGCGTTTGCCGAGGCCCACAGAGGCCCAAGGCTGGCCGAAGAGGGCCCGAATAATTGAAAATCCGTGATAACCCATTGGAAAATCAATGTTTTTGGTCTTCTCGCTTTTTCGTTTCCGATTGGCTCTTGAGGCATCAAGACAGTGGCCCAGGACGGCTCCTAATGAGTACGCAGAGGAGCCCCAACGAGGGCACAGACTGGCCCTAGAGGGCCTGGAGGTTCGAAAACCAATGGAAAAAGAAATCATTGGGAAAAGCAATGGTTTCGGTCTTCTCGCCTTTTCGCTTCCGGTCGGCTCGGGAGGCGTCAAGACAGCCCCAGGATGGTTCCAGAGAGGCGCAAGCCGAGGCCCACAGAGGCCCAAGGCTGGCCGAAGAAGGCCCAATGAGTTGAAATTCAATGAAAACCCATTGGAAAATCAATGTTTTCGCCCTTCTCGCTTTTTCGCTTACGATCGGCTCGGGAGGCGTCAAGACAGCCCCAGGACGGCTCCAAATGAGCCCCCAGACGAGCCCCAAAGAGGCCCAAGGATGGCCGAAGAATGCCCAGATAATTGGAAATCCATGAAATCCCATTGGGAAATCAATGTTTTAGGCCTTCTCGCCTTTTCGCTTACGATCGGCTCTTGAGGCGTCGAGATAGCCCCAGGACGGCTCCAAATGAGTCCCCAGACGAGCCCCAAAGAGTCCCAAGGATGGCCGAAGAATGCCCAGATAATTGGAAATCCATGAAAACCCATTAGAAAATCAATGTTGTTGGTCTTCTCTTCTTTTCGCATACGATCGGTTCTTGAGGCGTCGAGATAGCCCAAGGACGGCTCCAAATGAGTCCCCGCATGAGCCCCAAAGAGGCTTAAGGCTGGCCCAAGAGGGCCTTGAGAGTCGAAAAGCCGAGAAAACCCCAGGCGCAAGACAGGCCCGAGGATTCGGAATTCGTTTGTGAGGGGGGGGATGTCAGGGGGGGTGGGTTTCTTCCGGGGTCCCTGGCCTTATAGATAATAGGAACAGGAAGTTGTACACACACATATATATACACATACATACACATACATAGACATCTACACACACGCGCTCATAAATATTTGTACACACTATATTTGCGAGCTGCGCGCACAGAAGGCGTAGCCCGCTTTCCTGCCTCACTTGGATGCGGCCTAACCCGCCACGTCGTTCGGCTGGCGCTCAGCTGAACGCTCCGACCAGACGTCGCTAGCTGCCTAACGAGAGTTGGTAGCGGCGCGAGTGCCGCAGACAGGGAGAGAGAGAGAGAGAGAGACAGAGACACAGACAAAGACAGACAGACAGAGACAGACAGACAGAGGCAGACAGACAGACGGACTGACAGACTGACAGACTGACAGACTGACAGACTGACAGACTGACAGAGACAGACAGACAGACAGAGACAGACAGACAGACAGACAGAGACAGACAGACAGACAGACAGCGACGGAGAGAGCGACGGAGAGACAGAGAGATGGAGAGACTGAGTGGGAAGCAGCAGTCACGAAAGCAAACGGCCCAAGGACAGCCGCGGCTTCTCTCCCTCCCATCCGCTTCCCTCCTCCCGCTGCCTCCCCCCCCCGCTGTCTTCTTCCACTCCATCACTCCGCTCCCGTTTCATCATCCGCTGAGCATCGCACCTCGTGCTCATCCGTCCTCCTTTCCCCCCACCGTTCGCCTGCCTCTTCCTCCTCTCAGGCAGCGCAGACGTGCTTCAACACCCTGTATCTGCCCGAGTGCAGAGACGAGGCCCGCGCGCGCGCGAGCGCACGCCCTGTGCAGACGAGCCTGTGCAAAGTTGCTGGGGAACGAGCTGCCCCAGGAACGTTTTTCGGAGCAGGTCCCCGCTGGGAGCTTTCTGGGGGGGGGGGCCAGTATCCTCCCAACGGATTTCGTTTGCTCGGGCTATGTTCCACAGCGGTCTCTGCGAGACGTCGCGCTGGTTGAAGGTGCCCCCGTGGATGCGCGAGGTCTACCAGAGGGGGGTGGTCTACTCTGTAAGAACGGTTTTTTGAAGGCAGATCTGCCTTCAAAAAACCGTTCTTACAGAGGGGACCTCGGCCCGCCGCGTCTCTTCGGGCCGCAACTCCTCCAACTGTTTACCGAAGCCCTGCGTCAGTGATGGCCCTCCCCTCCTCAATCTCTGGTGGGCGCTCGCGCCTCGGCCACCCGAAGGGGGCACCTCGTCGCCACGGCGGCGCCCGAAGCACCCGCCGACACGGTGTCCATTCATTTGTGTGCAACTATTGGGAAGTGGTCGAAGTTGCATTTGTGTGCAACTGTTGGGAAGTGGTCGAAAACCTGCATCACACAACGCGTCTCTGCTCGATCCTGTTGAATCCAGCTTCGTCCTGGGGACGTGGGGAAGATAGCCTGCATGATGACCATTACCGCAGGACGCAGCAATGGGGAGAATGAGAAACCGCAGCGCCTGTCCGTCGTCTGCACAACAGGGGCAGTTGTCGCTTCGGGGCATCGCTTGCTGATGGGCATCATCGCCATTGCTGATGTCTCGATTTCGGGCGCGTCAGGAGGAGCTACAGCAGGGCACAGCTCGCAGCAGCCTGGTAGCACAGTGCCCAGAGGATTCTGCAGCCGGAGAGTACCGGTGTGCACGCCCGGATCAGGGCGTATCGGAGGTGAGGGGGTGAGATCGCCGTGAAACAATGAGCACCTCCTCCTCCTCCACCTCCTCCACCTCCTCCACCCTCCTCCTCCTTTTCCTCCCCCTCCTCCTCCTCCTCCTCCTCCTCTTCCTCCTCCTCCTCCTCCTCCTCCTCCTCCTCCTCCTCCTCCGTAGCCATTTTGGCTCAAGCCGCGTCGCGCGCCCCACCATCTTGGCTCAACCAGGCTTGGGATGGCGTGCTGCGATTTGGTTGCGCCGGCGCCTCGCGTGCTGCTCTTCTCCTTTCCCCGTCGTGCTCTGTTCCGGGATGGTTCATCGCCGTTCTCAGGTCGCCGCTCAACATCGCCGTCTCCGCGCTGCTGAGAACGGCTACCTCATCGGCAAGACGTCGTCGGTGCTGATACCTGTTCAGGCGTCACATGTCGGGCGAGTCGCTAAGATGGCGCAGTCGCTGGCGCTGCACGATGCGCACAACACCCTGCTCGGCACACCCGTCCACTTCGCACGCGATGCTGCTCTACATGCGGACATCTCTGACGCTGATCGCCAGGCTGCGCTGGTGATCCACAGGACGGCGAATCGTGCCAAGCATCACTGGCCCACGCGGCACCCTGCTTCTGCTACCTCTTCGGGATCTACGGGCACCGCCGCCAAGAGTGGCGCACCTCGCCTACGTGCTGCTGCTGCCGAGTTTGTGCCGCTCCCTTGCTCGTTGGAGGGCAATGCGGCCTCTGGCGCCGTGTCCTTTCTTGAAGCCATTAACATGCAGCTCATGCACATGTGGCACTCCATTGCCGACGCTGGTGCCGCCGCGGCCGCGGCTCAGCAGCTCGCGGCTGAGAGTCGCGACATGATGTTTGCAGTTGAACACAAGAGCGAGAAACAGTTCGAGTTGCTCAAGGCATCCATTTTGGTGCACGAGTTGCTTCCCGCGGCCGCCGTGGCTGGAGACGTGGCGCCTCTTGAGGCCAAGCTCCACGACCTGGAGAATGTGCTCACCGAGAAGTTGTCCACCTTTCGTGATGAAGTGCAGAGAGAGGTGGAGGACCTCAGTGCTGGGCAACGTGCCGTCTCCTCTTTCGTGGAAGACAACTATCAGACCGTTCTTCAAAAGCTGGTGCAGCTGCAGCAATTTGTTTTTGAGGCTCCTTCGGTTTCTGAGTTGAACGTTAAACTGGAATCAATGCGTGGTCTGTTCCGTTGCCACACGGCCAAGATCACTGATACGGTTTCTCAGAATATGACTGCTGCTCGTGCATACATAGATGAGGAAATCGCGAAAGTTTCTGTCCCGTGCGAGGCTGCGCTCTTGAAGTCGTTGGCTAAGCCCTTGGACCGTCTTTGGACTGACTGCCAAGAGTTGGTCAACCACTCGAGGGACGAGGTCTGCGAGTTCATGACCGCGGTTCGGGGTGGCACTCTTGCCGACGCCCGCATGCTCATCACAGAGTCGCTCGACGAGAAAGGGGTTTCCCGTCTCGCCCAGCTCGTGGCTGCAATCCAAGACGACATTGCGCAGCTCCGCTCTCTGCCTGCGCAGGCGGCCCTGGCAGCTTCTGTCCAAGAACAGGTTGCCACCCATGAGACCGCACTGCATCAGATGAGTGCTCTGATAGGCACGATGATTGAGAAGAACACGGATACGATCGTTGAAGCTGCCACGAAGTCTGTTATCTTATTTGCTGATTCTGCTGCCTTCGCTACCAAAGTGAAGTGTGTGGTGGCTGCACTGGATCGTGGCGTGCCCTCTGGTCAGGCGGCCCGCCTTCGGCCCCCTGTTCATGATAGCGGCGGATCTGACGATGATGATGACGGTGATGGAAGTTTTGACGAGACCTGGCAGGACAGCGAAGGCAACGTCAGGACTACACATTGGTCGCCGTGACGGGCTTCAAGATTGACATGGATGCTGTGAACGATGGCTTCCTTTCCCCGCTCGTCGGCCTCTCTGTGCTGGTGGGGTCGGTGAAGCTCCCGTGTACCGCTCTTATTCTTTTAGGCTGACGCCTTCTCTGATCTGCCCCCTCGGGCTGCGGAAATCTTTGAGTCTGGAGTTGAACAGACTGTCGCCCCCTACGCTCGTCTCCTCCTCCTCCTCCTCCTCCTCCTCCTCCTCCCCCTCCTCAATCCCCTCCTCAATCTCCTCATCGATCTCCTCCTCCCCCACCTCCTCCTCCTCCTCC